TCTTTTAAAATCCTCACTCAAAATCAGGCTTAGAAAGAGGAAAGGAGAGAGTCAAGGATGTGAGAGAAAAACATCAATCGGTTGCCTCCCATTCCCAAGCCCACAGTCCAGGAGTGTGCCCTGACCAGGAATCGAACCAGCAACCTTTCAGTGCACAGGGCGACACTCAACCAACTGAGTCACTCTGGCTGCCTTAGGTTGCCTTCTTTAGTCATATGCATGTAAGGTTCCTCCATGGCTTGATAGCTCATTTCTTTTTAGTGCTGAATAATGTTCTGTTGTGTGATGCACCACAGTTTATTTATCTATCCGCTCACCTACTGAAGGACATCTTGGTTGCTTCCAAATTCCAGCAACTATGGATAACGCTGCTGTGACTGTCTGTGTGCAGGGGATTGTGGGTTCTTCGTTGCACTGATTGCCTGAATTTTTCACTCAGTGTTTGTTTTCCTGACTTCCCTTGCTGGCATGTGAGCTCCATTGGACCAAAGAAACCTCTGCTGTCCCTGTGTGTGTTCTCTAGACCAGCCGTCGCCAACCTTTCCGGCCTCTAGTTTAGTATGTTCACAATGTGTGCAGCCATCACCTCTGTCTGGTTCCAAACATTATCATAACACCAAAAGGAAACTGTACCTACTCACCCTCCTCCCCTCTGCCTCTGGTAACCGCCTCTATGGATTTACCTGTTTTGGATATTTCATATAAATGAAATCATTCTCTCAGAGAGCATCATGCCCTCGGGGTTCATCCACATGGTAGCATGTATCAGAACATGTTTTGTTTTTTTTCTGTCTGAATGATATGTCACGCTACATATATAATGCATTGTGTTGATTTATTCTTCCCTTGATGGGTCTCTGGGCTGTTTTCACCCTTTGGCTATTGTGAATGATGCTGGTGTGAACATGTGTGCACTCCAACTTGTTTGAGAACCTGTTTTTAATTCTTAGGAGTAGAAATACAGGCTCATATGGTAATTAATACTTTGAAGAACTGCCAAAATATATATTTCCTTTTTAAATAGTAACTTTATTAGGGAAATTAGGTGGGAAAACCCTGGATAGAAGTCAGGAGACTTGGGTTCTTTTCCTCGCTTTTCCATTAACCAGCTGTGTAACCTCAAGCAAACCCTGTCCCTTTCCGGACTCCCGTTTCCTCATCTGAAAAGCGTAAAGCTAAATAATTCTTAAATTCCCTCCACTTTTAAGAATTTACTGGGAGAAGATGGGTCCCAGGGAGAATTGTCAAAGAGCTAACGGTGATTGACTGTGTTCTTTTTCTGCTGTGGTTTTAAATTGTGAGTTAAAAGCACCATACATAATTGGGCTCTCCACCCACTCCCCAGCCAGTGTTTCTGGTTAATGAATAGCTTCTGGCTTCCTCTTTCCATGGAGATTCCCAGAATAAGCTTTCCCTCTCCCCATCACTCCGACTGCTTGGCAGCTCCCTGGCCGTCATGGAGCTGAGACTGGAACCGTCCCACTGTCCTCCCTAAAGGCTGGCTGCGCCTTTCCGGGCTGCTTCTCCAGCACTGAGGTTTCAGCTGGGTAACCTGGGCCTGGTCTTCGGAGAGGTGGGAGGCAAAGAGGAGGCAGCAGATCTGAGAGAGTCCGGAGGAAGAACGGGAGACCTGCTGTGATGCTCTTAGCCAGAGGGTCCCTCCCTGGGGACCTTCTACTTTCCTTGTTCTCCTCCAGCTGAATGGCTCCCCAGCCAGAGCGCATGCCTGGGTAGGGAGGGTTTTCCTCCACTGGATGCTGCAAGAGCCCACAGTTTGTGCTCTCCTGTACCACCTGGTGGTTTTCTGGGGGTATATGAGGTTTATAAAACACGCATGTACTAGTGGTTTATTTCATCCGTCAGTCATGTGTCCATTTTTCCTTCATCCATCCACCACATATTTTTTTTGAGTGCCCGCTATGGTTTAGGCCAGTGGTCGGCAAACTGTGGCTCACGAGCCACATGCAGCTCTTTAGCCCCTTGAGTGTGACTCTCCCACAAAATACCACATGCAGGCGCACGTTCAGTGCGACTGAAACTCCGTGGCCCATGCGCAGAAGTCGGTTTTCGGCTCTCAAAAGAAATGTCAATCGTTGTCTTGTTGATATTTGCCTCTGGTGACTAATGAGTTTGCCGACCACTTGTTTAGGCACGACACGACGTGAGTGTCTAGGAATAGCCAAGACCAGGCACCTCCCTTATAGAGCCTTTTTATGGGGGGTACAGAGTGGCTTCTGGAAAGAATTCTAAGTGACAAGTGCTTTGATGGGGGCGTCAATGGTGTTCAGGGGTGCAGACAAGGGGCACATAAGTCATACCTGGCAAATCCTATTGAGAGAGGGTGGGTTCGAAGAGCTGTCTAGACAGACGTTAACCTGTGCAGCAGTCAGCCAGCACGACAGCCCTGCAGAGACCTGGTAGAAGGCCCGTAGACGCAGGGGAAGAGGTGAGAGAGGAGAGTGCCATGGGGGCTGCCATTCGGGGCCTCTGAGCCACGCCAGGGACTCCGGCTCTCACTTTCAGGCAGCCGTGAGCCGGTGAGTGTGACTAGGGGAGTGGCGTAGGCTTTATATTTGCCCTTGAGCGATGCCCACTCTGGGTGTGGGTGGAGAATGAGTCAGAGGGGCAAGAGTAGAAGTGGGGAGACCACTGATGTCTTTCTACAGTGACTGGCATGAAACGATGGTGACCAACAACTGAGGGGGAAGCAAGGGGAAGGGGGAGAGACAGGAAGCCCGGAAATATACCTGAGGTTGGAGCTGGTGCTGGCCCAGCTTCCAGGAGAGAAACTGCTGAAACCCGAGTCAGAATCCTTTAACTCCCCACCCCACCTCCACCGCCACCCCCATCCCCGTTCTGGCACAGGGGGGCACCTCAGCCTCCGGGTCTTCAGAAACGTGACCTTGTCTCCCGGGAGAAGCCCTGGAGCCCTGCACTCTCAGAGGGGGTAGGTGGGAGATGGTGGGCACACAGACGAGAGCAGGCTTCAAGTTGCTGCCACCTAGGAGGACAGACGTGTGTCCATGTTGAGAGGTGGCTGTTGGTCCACGAAAGCCGGAAGCATTCTGCGGAACCTGGTCCCATCCGGTTTGGCCCAACCTCATGGTGGAACAGCAAACTGGACCCGTTTTTTAAGACTTGTGTTCCAAAACTTCAGTAATCTTTAAGCTCTGCGTCTGAGGACCTGCTGTAGGCCGTTCCTGATCTTGTCCCTCAAGAGGAAGGAAAAGGTTTGTCTCTTAAGGACCCACTCCAGGCTTCTCGGGCCGCCACGTTCACCCCTGTGCCTCTCAGCTCTGGAATGATGTCTTGTTTGAGGATATAAACCGTGGGCTAGTGTAAAGTTGCTCCTTTACCAGCCCCCTGGGACCCTCTTTTCCTGGGCCATCATCTCAGCACTGCTCAGGGACACGTCAGGGGCTGCCCCCCCTCAGCCGCCTACAATATCTGCAGAAAGCATGCACTTTTTAGAAAGTCCTTTGGGCACCCTGGCCAGTGTGACTCAGTGGTTAGGGTGTCAGATCATGCACTGAAGGGTCTCAGGTTTGATTCTTGGTCAAGGGCACATACCCGGGTTGCAGGTTCCATCCCCAGCCTTGGTCAGGGCATGTGCAGGGGGCAACCAACCGATGTGTCTCTCTCACATTGATATTTCTCTCTCTTCCCCCATCCTTCCCTTCTTGCCACTCTCTCTGAAAAATCAATGAGAGAAAAAATGTCCTTGGGTGAAAATGAACAATAAAAAAAATCCTTTAAGGAACCAAGTTCGCTATTTAACCCCTGACTCCCAGGGCTGTCACCTTCACCTTGTCCCCCCCCCCCCGGGTCACAGGACATCAGCGTTATCGCTGGGCCCCTACCCCAAGCACTCAAACACAGACCCACTCAGCCCGGGTGGTTCCAAGGAGCTGTGAGATTGGTGCGTTTATTGCTGGACAGGTTTATGGCCTCTTCTAGGTGCTGGGCCCATGGGATTCTGCTGCCAGGTCTGTTGAGTGAGGCAGGTTTGCTAGGGTGAGGCATGTGCAGCGCCAAACTGGGGGTCATCCAGGAGGCCTGGGTTCTTCTTGCAACTCCTTTACCCACCTGCTATGTGACCCTGACCACTCGAGGGCCCGAGTTTCCTTGTACAGAACACAGAGAGGATGGACCCTCCAGGCTGGGGAGGGCAGGGCACTCCGGCTCTGGGTTCCACCGGTGGTACTGGAGGTGAGGAGTTCTTGCAAGGTGAACCCATGCTAGGAAATAGAGGGCCTTGATATCTGTGCTAGGACGCTGGGTCCTTGTTTTCAGGACCGTTCCATCCAGAGTTGCCCTGCCTTCTAGAACAGTGGTTCTCAACTCCAGGTGGTTTTGTCCCTCAGGGGACACTTGACAATGTCTAGAGACATTTTTGATTGGTGGCAGAAGTGGGCTCTGCTGGCATCTCTTGGGTAGAGGCCAGGATGCTGCTATACATTGTACAGTACCTAAGACTGTTCCCACACAGAGAATTGTTGGGTCCCAAATGTCAATAGTGCAAGGTTAAGAAGCCCTATTTTATTTATTTATTTTTAATATATTTTACTGATTTTCTTAGAGGAAGGGAGAGGGAGAGGGTGAGGGACAGAGAAAGAATTAGAGAGTTAGAAACATTGATGAGAGAGAAACATCGATCAGCTGCCTCCTGGACACTCTCTACTGGGGATGTGCCTGCACCCAAGGCACATGCCCTTGACCTAAATCGAACCTGGGACCCTTCAGTCCACAGGCCAACCCTCCATCCACTGAGCCAAACTTGTTAGGGCAAGAAGCCGTATTTTAGAACAGTGGTCTGTGACCAAGGGGACCTTTGCGTCCTTCTGGCCCTGTACGATTGCTAGAATAAACCATGAGTTTAAGAAATAACTCACTCGTATTTCTTTCCACAGCTGAGCTCTGTCTGGGAGGCTGAGTCAGAGCAGCTGGAAGCAGCAAGACCCCGCCGACCGGGGAACGGGGAGCGGGGCTCAGCGCTGAGGATGGCCGGGCCGCAGCCACCACCCTGGGTCCACGCAGCCGTCCTCCTCTGCCTCCTCGGCCTTGGCGGGGCCATTGAGATTCCTATGGATCGTGAGTTCTCCTTCCTCTTTTAATCTTCTGACTTGGGGTAGAGGGAAGTTAAGGCCTACTTCTGAAGAAGGTTGAGGTGTGAGGGGGAACTGGATTCCGGATGCAGAGCTGGGTTTCCCAAAAATGGAAGCAGGCGCTGGTGCTTTGGAGAGTGAGACTGTCAGTCTGCAGCCGTCTCCCCTGTCTCCACTGCCTGGGACCTGCTGAGCAGGACTAGAAGTGGCAGAGTTTGGACATCTGAGTGTCCTCTGTGGTCTTCACTTGCCCATCAAAGGGACCAAGTGACTGGATGGTTATTTGCCTCTTTCCTGAGCTGGATCCTCCGGGCCCTCTTGGCTGGACTGCCCAGGAGGACGGGTGGCTGGGAGCGGGTTGGGAAGGGGATTATTTTGCAGACGGCTGTGGCTGCATGAGACACTGAAATAGAGCCCATTAGAATGCCCCTGTGGGAGAACCAGGCACTGGTTCCAGAGCTGAAAAGTAAAATCCATGCCGTTCTGTTTCCTATGGGCGGGGCATCACGTGGCCCTCAAAATCACAAGGTCAGGGGCGTGGCATGCCGAACTCACCGTGTCGCCACCAGCCGAATCTGCGGTGCGTTCTTGATGACCCACTGACAGGCAGCCATGCTCCTCGGCCCTGCATTTTGAGGTGCACCCACCACCTTTGCCACAGCCCTGGCACTCCTACCATGTGCTGAGATGTGGGCACACCACCTCTGTGCCCCGTCCCCTGATTCTAGGAATGGATGGAGCCCACTTGATGCCAGAGTTGACTTGGGCTCTCTCCAGGTGATAGAAGTCTGGGGAGGGGTGGGAGAGTTACACTTCTCCAAGAAATCTCCACGGAGCTCTCTGGAGCCAGGCCCTGGGGCCTGGAGGTAGCAGAGCTTCGAGAAGAGTTGCAGATGTCTCAGCCCCTCCTACCCTCTTCACCAACAGGAGCTGCCCCCGAGGAATGGGCACTTGGGATGAGAGAAGGCCAGAGAAACTATAGGGTAGGCCCGGAAGTAAGATGGACAAGGCCCCTGCTGTCCTCCCGGTAGCCCCAAGTATGTGTGTGTGATTAGGGGTAGGGGGTAGGCAGTACACACACACACACACACACACACACACACACTCACTCAGGGATGGGGGCAGGGGAGTTGTGAGTGGAACTATTCCATGGAGACCATCTGTACAGCTGGCTCAAGGAGATTCTCATTAACAGGCCCGGCAGACAATCTAATAAGGAGCACGCTAGGCCCTTCCTCCCCCTGGAGACGAGGGGCTGCTGAGGAAATTGGTTATCAAGGACGTGGTGAAGGCTCATTTCTCTTCCACCGCTTCTCCTCCTTCCCTCACCTGCCACTTTGATCCCCGGGGCTGGTAGGTGAGCAGTTCCTGCAAGGTGAACCCATAAATAGATGGCCTTGACATCTGGGCTAGGACTCTGGGTTTCTGGAGCTCTGCCAAGCCACAGGCAGGTGACTGAGCTGTCAGTCTCTTTCAGTCCACCAATGGAGCCCAGAGCTGGAGTGCCCTGCCCTCCCCAGCCTGGAGGGTACATCCTCTCTGTGTTCTGTTCATGGAAACTCAGGCCCTTGTGTGGTCAGGGTCACACAGCAGATGGGTAATGGAGAAGAACTCAGATCTCTTAACGACCCCCGATTTGGCACTGCACATGCCCCACACTGACCTCTAGCAAACCTGCCTCCTTTCAGTTCTTAGAACTTTCCAGAGTAGCAATGCCCAGCAGAGAGCTGAGTACCTTCCGGCATCGGGTCCTATGATTCTCACAGCTAATCCATGAAGTATGTGTTGTCCTTAGTTGACAGGTGAGAAATCTGAGGTAGGGAGAAATAGAGCTGTTTCTCCAGCTCGTAAGTGGCAGGGCCAGCATGTGATCACAGCGCCCCTCTGAACCAGGTGAGTCCATCGCGACACATTCCAGCACACCAAGCTGTCTCAGGAAACTCGCTGCCTCACACACCTCCCTGGTGACTGCGGGCACAGTTGCCATAGTGAATTCTCCAGGAAGAGTCTACAAAAGCTGAACACAAGACAAGAGAAAGGCAAGCCCTTCAGTTGCCCTGGGGAGAGCTTTTCACCCCTCCTGCTTCCCAGATGATCTGGATTCATCCTTCCTTCTCGCCCAGTGGAAGAGGCTGGGGAAAGATCAGTTATTCCTTTTCCCACCCAGTTTTATTGAGGTATTATCTATACTAATAAAAGGGTAATATGCTAGTTAGACTGGACAAAGTGGCAGCTGCGGATGGCGGCTGCTGCTGCCAGGCCAGGCCGAGGCTCAGGCAGCCGCAGCAGCCAGCAGTGGCAGCAGCAGCAGCGTGATGTGGGTGTCACCTTCCCCTGATCCACCTGGTTGCCTCCCTCAGAGGGAGGCCAGAGGTAGCAGCAGTGAAGGGGTGATGGGGGTGGTGCCTTCCCCTGATCAGCCACTCACCTCTCATAGAGGGAGGCCAGATTGTGGCTAAGCTGTCAGTAGGACATTCCTTGAGGGCTCCCAGACTGTGAGAGGGGGCAGGCCAGGCTGAGGGAACCCCCCCACCATCAGTGCACGAATTTTTGTGTACCAGGCCTCTAGTTGATATATAACATCTGTACGTTTCAGAAGTACAACTTGATGATTTGCTACATGTGTAAATGACTAAATAATGGCCACAGTAGGGTTAGTGAACACATCCATCCCCTCATGTGATTACCATTGTGTGTGTGTGGCAATGACGTATAAGGTCTACTCTCTTAACAACGTTCAAGTATAACATAGTACAGGCAACCTCATTATTGTGCTTCACAAATGCTGCCTTTTTTACAGATCGAAGGTGTGTGGCAACCCCTCCTTGAACAAGTCTACTGGCACATTTTTCCAACAGCATTTATTCATTTTGGGCCTCTGAGTTCCATTGTGGTCATTCTTGCAATAATTTTCCTTTATTGTTATACTAGAGGCCTGATGCACAGATTCATGCAAGGAAGGGCCTTCCTTTCCCTGCCTGCCAGCACCACCTTCCCTCCTGCCCAGAGCCACCTTTCTGCCTTTGCTCTGGCCCAGAGCCACCTTTCCACCTTCCCACACTGCCCAGAGGCCTGGAACTGCTGGGGCAATGTGGAATGCCTGATCATCACCACCCCGCCCCTGCTGCTTGGTGCCTGCTTATACAAATTAACCCACCACTTTGTTGGGTTAATTTGTATACTCCTGATTTTCCGGTGGATGTCCTGAAGGTGTGGTCAATTTGCATCTTTCTCTTTTATTAGTGTAGATTTGTTATAGTGATCTGTGATTAGTGACCTTTAGTGTTACTATTGAAGCTATCTTGGGGCATCACAAATCGTGCCCATATACGATGGCAAACTTAATTGATAAATGTTGCATGTGTTCTGATTGCTCCACTGCTTCCCTGAGACACAACATGCTTCAATTAGGCCAATCTGTAACCTTACTATGGCCTCAACGTATTCAACTGAAAGGAAGAGTTGCACATCTCTCACTTGAAACCCGAATCTAGAAGTGATTAAGCTCAGTGAGGAAGGCACATCCAAAGTCAAGACAGGCCGAAAGCGGGGCCTCTTATGCTGCAGAACCAAGTTGTGGATGCAAAGGAAAGATTCTTGAAGGAAATGAAAAACTCTTATCCAGTGAACAGACAAAGGATAAGAACTCAAAACCAGCCCATCACTGATGTGGAGCATGTTGTGGTGGCCTGTCTGGAAGATCAAACCAGCCACATGTCCTTAAGTCAGTGGTCGGCAAACTCATTAGTCAACTGAGCCAAATATCAACAGTACAATGGTTGAAATTTCTTTTAAGAGCCAAATTTTTAAAACTTAAACTTCTTCTAACACCACTTCTTCAAAATAGACTATCCCAGGCTATGGTATTTTGTGGAAGAGCCACACTCATGGGACCAAAGAGCCGCATATGGCTCGCGAGCCGCAGTTTGCCGATCACTGCCTTAAGTCAAAGCATAATCCAGAGCAAGGCTTTGACTCTGTCCAATTGTATGAAGGCTGTGAGAGGTGAGGAAGCTGCAGACAAAACATTTGAAGCTAGCACAGTTAGGTTCATATGTTTTAAGGAAAGACTGTCTTCAAAACATAGAAGTGCAAGGTGAAGCGGCAGGTGCAGATGTAGAAGCCACAGCCAGTTATCCAGGAGACCTAGCCAAGATAACGAACAAAGATGGTTGCACTAAACAACAGATCTTCCATGTAGATTAAACAGCTTGCTATTGGAAGACGCTGTCACCAGGACTTTTATAACTAGATGGGAGAAGTCAATACCTGGCTTAAAAGCTTCAAAGGACAGGCTGGCTCTCTTGTTAGGGGCTAATGCAGCTGGTGACTAAGGTGAGCACTCTATGGTGCTCATTTGCTATTCCAAAACTCCCAGGGCCATTAAGAATCACACCAAATCTATCCTGCCTGTGCTCCATAAATGGAGCAACAAAAACTTGGTGACAGCACATCTCTTTATAGCATGGTTTATAAAATATTTTAAGCCCACTTTTGCACCCTACTGCTCAGAAAAACAAGATTCCTTTCAAAATATTACTGCTCATTGACAATGAACCCAAGAGCCCTGATGGAGATGTACAAGGAGATAAATGTTATTTTCATGACTGCTAATACATCATCTATTCTGCAGCCCATGGATTAAGGAATACTTTTCACTTTCAACTCTTATTATTATATTTAAGGAATACATTTTGTAAGGCTATAGATCCCATAGATAATGATTCTCTGGCGGATCTGGGCAAAGTAAATGGATTCAACATTCTAGAAGTTATTAAGGACATCATGATTCATGGGAGAGGTCAGAATATCAACATGAGCAGGAGTATGGAAGAAGTTGATTCCATCCCTCCTGGATGACTTTGAGGGGTTCAAGGCTTCAGTAGAGGACTTAACTTTGGATGGGTTGGAAACAACAAATAAGTAGAATTAGAAGTGAAACCTGAAGGTGTGACTGAGTTGCTTCAATCTCATGATCAAACTCTAAAGGATGAGGAATTGCTTCTCATGGATGAGCAAGGAGAGGGATTTTTGAGATGGAATCTATTCTTGGTGAAAGTGCTATGAAGATTGTTGAAATGACAAAAAAAGGATTTATTTATTTTAATATATTTTATTGATTTTGTACAGAGAGGAAGGGAGAGAGATAGAGAGTCAGAAACATCGATGAGAGAGAGTCATCGATCAGCTGCCTCTTGCACACCCCCCACCGGGGACATGCCTGCAACCAAAGTACATGCCCTTGACCGGAATCGAACCCGGGTCCCTTCAGACCCCAAGCCGACGCTCTATCCATTGAACCAACCCAGTCCTGGCAACAAAAAAAGGATTTAGAATGTCACATAAACTTGTTGCTAAAGCAGAAGCAGAGTTTGAGAGGACTAACTCCAGTTTTGAAAGCAGTTCTGTGCGTAAAACGCTATCAAACAGCATCGCATGCTACGAGAAATTGTTAGTGAAAAGAAGAATTCATCCATGCGACAGACTTTATTGTCGTCTCATTTTAAGCAATTCCCACAGTCGCCCAACCTACAGCAAACACCACTTTGATTGTTCAGTAGCCATCAAAAGTCAAGGCAAGAAGACCCTTAAGGCTCCGGTGATGGTTTGCATTTTTTCAGCAACACATTCTTTTTTAATTAAGCTATGCACATTGTTTTTAGACACAATGCTATTGCATACTTAGACTCTAGAATAGTGCAATCACTTTTTATATGCACTAGGAAATAAAAAATGTCCTGTGATTCACTTTATTGCAATATTAGCTTTGTCGTGGTGGTCTGAAACGAACCCCCTCCAAGGTATGCCTACCTATATTGTTCATTGGAGTTGCTATGCTGTAAATTAGGTTCCTAGAATTTATCTGTCTTATAGCTGGAAGTGTGTACCTTCTGACCAATATCACTCTCCCCCTAGACCTTGGCAGCCACCATTCTATACCGTTCCTTGAGCGTGACATTTTTAGATTCCATATGTAAGTGAAAACATACAGGATGTGTCTTTCTCTGTCTGGCTTCTTTCACTTAGCATAATGCTCTCAAGGGCCCATCCATGTTGTGGCTTAAGGCTGGAGATATCGGCACCCCCTCTTCCATATAGCATTCTTCCCAATAGCCAGGATATGGGGACAGTGAGGTTAGGCACTTCATTTTCCCTGTGAGTTGGGGGTAGGGAGAGGAAGGGGGTTCAGGCCAGAGGCTGCCCTGCCAGGTGTTCCCTCCTGCGCCCTTGCCCCTTAGGGGGCAGGAGGATAGGGCATTGCTTCTGCTCAGGGAGGGTTTAGGTGCAGCAGGCTTCCAGGAACAGAGCCCTGGGCTGTGATCCAGCCCCACATTGAAGTGCCCAGCGTCCAGTCACCACCACTCTGCCAGCGGAGTCACACGCACCCCCTCCTCTCCCCAGCCTCAAGGACGGTATGACCTTTGAAGAAAGCAAAGAGTCACCTCACAGCCAAAGAGGGCTTGCCAAAAAGTGAGTCTGCTGGCAGCTTTCCTGTCTCCCTCCCCACATCAGGGGACTCAGCATTTTTCTGCCAGGAACCCACAGAGGAGGGCAGTGGCAGGGTACTCCTCACCATCATCCCAAACGGTGTTGCAGGAGGGCTCAACACTCACATTCACTTCATTCACACTCACTCCATCCTCCGAGGGATAAGCCTAGAGGTCACAGATCAGAGTCAGGGAAAGAAAAGGGGTGCATGAATTCTGGGCCGCATCTGCCTCACCTCCTGCAGACTCAGTTGGAAGATTTTCCTCCGTCTTGGGAGCCAAAAGAACAAATGTATTCTCCACTCTACATTCGTCATCCGACAAGTTCTGTAGGAGAGAAGGGCAGGCGGTGTGACACAGGATGGAGAATGTGGTGGCAGGGGAAGGGGGGGGGGGATTAGGGGGAGCACAGGACTAGGCAGGCTGTCCCCACTGTCTTCTCCCTGTGGCAGCTTGTCTTTCGGGTCGGTTGTGTCCCTGTAATAAAGTCCTTGGTGGCACAGTGTGGCCGCAGATGTCATTAACTCTTGAGCCAAGTAGCTTCTCAAGGAGGCCCTGGCCAGATTTCGGTGTGGGGCCGGGGCACAGTAGAGCTGCCTGGTGTCCGTATCCCGGCAGCTCTAACTGCCCCATGCATCTCTTCTCCCTCAGGGTCTTCCCTCTGACTTGCCTCTGTCCAGAATGTCAAGGAGAACGGAGGCCAAGGCCCCATCGGGCCGAGGCCTGGCCTGTGCCAGGAGCTCTGGCAACAGAAGGGCTGGTTCTCACCCCCGTCCTGTAACAGACTTCCGGGGGGATCTTGACCAAGGACTTCCCTCCCCTGGATTCGACTCCCTGGAGAACGTCTAGGGATCTCTCCACTGAACCAGCATTTGAGTTGATAAAAGAGAGGCAGGAAGCCCACCGGGCAAAGCAGAGCCTTTGTGAGCTTCCCGTCCTGGGTAAGGCCAGAGCCTTCAGCTGGGAGTGAGGACCTGGGAGACACCAACTGTCTCTTGAGATGATAAAGAAGGGCCTGGGTTGAGGTCAAGGGGCTGGGTCAAGTGTCAGCCCTGCTTCTCCTGAAAGTGGCCCCTTCTCCCAACCTCCCACACCCCCGTGAGAGGACACACCGTCCAAAACCAGCCCCACTGCTTTCAGTCCTTCCAGAAACCCCCTGCAGGTGAAGTTGCTCAGGGGGAGCTCCGCGGAGCACACATTTACAATCCATAAGACTTCTGCTCCCCCCTACCCTTCACGCCCAGGCGTTTCATTTCTTATTATTTCCTACTCAGGAGGCCAGATGGAATTCTTCTTCTGTGCCCCAGCAGGCCACACACACCCAGGCCACTTGAAATAATTACTCTGACCCTTTTCGTGGGTCTTGCTCTCAAGACTTCCCCTCACTGACAGCGTGTGCAGCAGGCCACCATTTCTGCCACCCGCCACCTCCCCACTCTGGTGCCTGTCTTCTCTCCTGTGACTCTTTCTGCAGCTCTTGGTCCCCTCTGCCTCTCTGAGCAATGCCCCCTTCTGAGTCCCTGAACTCCTCGTTTCCGTTTCCCATGGTCCCCATGGCTCAGCAGCAGCCTCCACTCCTTCCAGGAGGCACTCCCTCGGAAAGAGTCTGCGCCACGCTGGCATCCACCCCCGCAGGCGGAGGCACGGGCGTAGTCTTTTCTGATGTAATCATGGGGGAAAGATCTCTCTAAAGTTACAGCGACTGTTGTGCTGCTTTCTGCAGACAGAATTCAACCAAGACCTTGTCCCCGCCAAGGACATACCTTCTAAAACCTTGTATTTAAATCGCGATCCGCAGCCCACCACGTGGCTGCTGGGGAGAAACGCAAGACCTTCCAGATCAGAACCTGCATGTTCACATCACCCCCATGAGAAACATACACGCCTGTTCACGGGCATCTCAGGGATGGCCACCGGCCCTTTTGTCTCTTTTGTAAAAAGCAGGGAGGGATGTGCTGGGCCTCGCTTCACCCACAGTGGTTCAGAAGCGGGATTTCCGTAGGGGAGGGGGCTTCTGCCGGGAGCAGGGCACTCACCGTTCATCCATCCCCAGAGTGGTCCAGAGGCCGGCAAAGGAGGACACGATGAGGGAAGAAGGTGCTTTCTTGTGTGGGAGAGAGCAAGGGGCAGTGGGGGAGTGGGTCCGTGGGCCTCGCTGGGCCCTGGGGGCTCTGTCCTGTAGCAGTGGTTCCACCTCTTCCCTGGCACGCGGCCTCACCCTGCCACAGCTGGCTGAGGAGCACCTCGAGGTGGCAGGTGGCATTTTCAGAGCCCAGCCTCTTAGGAGCAGGGCTGCCACTTTCAACATTTGGCCTCACCTGGTGGCACCTTCATTTGTCAGAAGCGGGTCTTTCTGCTCCACTGCGTGGTTTGGTCTCGGGGGAGGCATCGCCTTCCCCACGAAGCACCTGCCGGGTGCCCGCACTCCAGCGTGGCTTCTCCACTGAGCTCTGCAGCTGGCAGGAGAGAACTTGGGCACAGTGCCCTCCTTCCCTACCTCTCCTCCCCCCCCCCCGCATCTCCCTCCTCCCTGCGTGCTGGGCCCTGCAGACCCCTGGCGACTGGTCGTGTGTGATAACTGATGTCTTCTTCTCTCCCCTCACAATGCTAACCCACCGGACTAACAGCCAGCATTCAGAACGAGCGTAAGTCCCGGGCGCCCCTCTGCACCTGTGCCTCTGGGGGTAGGAGGGCAGGAAGGTGGGCAGACGGAGGCCAGGTGAGGGCATGCCGGGATCCTTGGCTCCTCCGCCCTGCCTGCTGTGGCTTCCTGACACCAGCGCTCTAAGGTGGGAGGCCCCTTACCCCCCGGGAAGTGGGGAGGCCCAGCCTATGAAAGGCAGGTGGGTGAGAAGGGCCGTGCTTACCGGTTCTCGGGCGGCTGGCACGGGAGCCCCCAGAGAAGGCAGCTCAGGATCGGGAGGGAGGAGATGCTCTCTGGCCTGCAGACAAGTCCCTGGGTAGTTCTCTGGGGACTAAAGCCTCTTTCAGCTCCATCCTCGCCACAGGTCGGCCATCTGTTGACCCTCCAAGGCTCAGAACCATCAGAGCCCCTAAGATCTGAAAATCGAGCTGCTTTTTATTCCTATATTCATTCAACAAACATTGACATTGTCCAAAGCATTGGTCAGAAGAGTGGGTCACACAGTTTCTCACGGGGATATGGGGACGTCATAAAGGGATTCCTCTTAATGGGTGTCTGACCGCATCCCTTCCCCGCGCTCTCTGGATGGGCCCCTGCCCACCCTGCTGGCTTGCTTTGCTGTGTGGTTTCCGACACTCTCACTTCCAGCCGTTCTCCGAACACTGACTGCCTGCCCTCTGCCCTGTGCAGTGTCCCAGCCCCCGACCATCACCAAGCAGTCCGTGAAGGACCACATCGTGGATCCCCGCGATAACATCCTGATCGAGTGCGAGGCCAAGGGGAACCCGGCCCCCAGGTGAGCACAGCGGCTGGAGAACCCCGCTGGGTGAGGGAGAACCCCGCTGGGTGAGGGAGAACCCCGCTGGGTGAGGGAGAACCCCGCTGGGCAAGGGAGAACCCCGCTGGGCAAGGGAGAACCCCGCTGGGCGAGGGAGAACCCCGCTGGGCAAGGGAGAACCCCGCTGGGCAAGGGAGAACCCCGCTGGGCAAGGAAGAACCCCGCTGGGCGAGGGAAGGGGCCCCAGGAGGCCATTTCAGCTCCTCCGTGCCCCGGGCCTGATGACAGCTGGCCTCCGAGAAATTGCATTTACCATTCAGCCCACACTAGGCAGAAAGTACAGTTTGGAAAATTAGAAAATGTGGCTGATGAAGAAACTTGGGACTAGGAACTACGAGGCTTAAAGTCACACCGGTGCCAGGACCAGATACACTTTCTGGCTTCCAATGTAACACTGCCTGTGCTGCCATGCTCAGCTCAGAGCAGCCCCTCTCCCTAGCTCACTGAGTTAGTGCTGAGCTCGTCCCTGCCCGTGTGTGTGTGTGACACACACACACACACACACACACACACACACACACACACACGTTAGCATCAAGTAGGTCAGCAGACTCGAAAGCCTGCCCTGTGCCAGGCTGTGTGTCCAAGTTGTCCTCACACGAAGAGTTGTGTAGGGGACGGGCCAACATCCTTGTGGAGGGAAGTGAGATGGAGGCACAGAGACACGCAGTGCCTTTCCAAGGTCACGCAGGCCATGAGTGCTTCTGTTGGATGGCCAGCACTGGCGACAAAGCAGCTTCCACAGACCGGAGCTGTCAGGAGCCTCATGCCAGATTCAGGCCCAGACATGACCGGACCCCGTGTGTGTGGTTGGGGGTGGGGGGAGAAAGGAGGTGGGTGGCAACTTTCCCTGCCTTGCCTCCCTCTCCCCTCCTCCCCGCAAGTTCGCATGAGCCTGTGGGCCTGGAAGAGCAGAGCCTCCTTGCCCCCGGTGGGAGAAGCAGGATTCACCCCGAAGGGTCAGGCAGGGTTTGGGTGACCTTGCTTCTGGGGTCTGGGCTGCCCCATGTTCCTTTGTGGGGACAACGAAGAACGCTGAGCGGCCACGGCTGCTCCTGCTTCTTTAAGGTTATAACCTGGGCAGCTAGACACGCGTTCTGGGCCATCAAGTGCGGCCTCGGCCTTACATCCCACCCTCTGAGCAGAGCACACAGCCACCTCACTTCCTTTAGAGGCTGTTATGAAATGAGGAGATAGGCGGAGCCAGCCAGCTCCCCGGAGTGTCCTGGGGGAATGGGGACTTGGGTTTGCATTCCTAGCTGGAGGGAGGGAAGCCCAGGGGGTGGGGGTGGGGGTGGGGGTGGGGGCTCTGACTCTGGATTTTTAAAAATAAAAATTGCTGCCCAGCCCTCCAAAGACAGTCCCAGGGGCTGCTCGGTATGCACCGTGTGGAAGCGTGACTCCCAGCCTTGGCCGGTGCGAGTGCTGTAGGTGTCAGTGTTGTACGGGACCTGCTCCCCAGATTCACCTGCGGGGGAGGGGCAGGCGCTGCATGCAGGAGGCCCAGGTGGTTCTGCCATGTGTCCGTCCAGCTGGGCAGGTTGGTATGAAGGTGTGGTTTTGTGACCGAGTCAGGGACTGGGGTCCTGAGATTGTCGCCTGGAGCCCGGAACCCACCCTGTTACCGTTGGTGGCTCCCGCCTTACCCCCATCCCCCCGTGGCCCACAGCTTCCACTGGACTCGGAACAGCAGGTTCTTCAATGTCGCCAAGGACCCGCGGGTGTCGATGAGGAGGCGGTCTGGGACCCTGGTGATCGACTTCCGCAGCGGAGGGCGGCCGGAGGAGTACGAGGGCGAGTACCAGTGCTTCGCCCGCAACAAATTCGGCACAGCCCTGTCCAACAGGATCCGCCTGCAGGTGTCCAGTGAGTAGCAGGGCGAGGGGGAGAGGGGAGAAGGGACAGAGTGCAGATGCCCTGCTCTTGGGTGCATGGGGGGCCTGAGGAGGTGGGGGCCATCATTCTAGAAGGACCGCCCCTGCCTTTGTATGAGGAACAACAACTCGGACACACAGCCTGGCACAGGGCAGGCTTGGTGCTTTGGGGCCCTGCAGGTCCTGCTTGCTTTTCTGCCTCTGAGCCAAGCACACCACCCCAATTCAAAACGATTCCTTAGAAAGGAAGCTTCTAAACCAGAATCTTGAACAATTTCACTGGCCACTCTGGGCTCAGGAGGGGAAGGAGAGGAGCCTGTGAAGACAGGCACCCTTTCAGACAAAGGCCTCTCACCTTTCTCCTCTCTCCTCTGCCCTGCTTGGACCAGGAGCCTGGCCCTCTCTCCTGCCTCACTTGTCCTCCTGCTCCCTCTTCCCCTCCTCACATGCCGGCCCCTAACCCCCCTCCTTGCCCGGCCCCAGCATCACCCGCATTTCACCCTCCTCTGTGTTTCTCCCAGAGTCTCCCCTGTGGCCCAAGGAAAATCTGGACCCCGTGGTGGTTCAGGAAGGCGCCCCGTTGACACTCCAGTGCAACCCGCCGCCCGGACTCCCATCCCCAGTCATCTTCTGGATGAGCAGCTGTAAGTCTTGGGGGTTGGTGTTTATGTCCATTTTAATCTTAGGGAGGAGGGTGGGCGTGTTAAATGGGGTTTGGGGGGCTTGCCTTGTGAGAAGCAGCTGTAAGGTGGCCAGCTGATAAGAACTGGCTCTGTGGAGAGGCTGATGGGGCTCATTTCCTAAGCCCAGCTGCTATTTGCTGTGTGATCTTGAGCAAGTTGCTTAACATCTCTGGGCCTCGGTTTCCTTTCTTAAAAATGGGGCTGATAACTGTACTTATCTAATAGAATTATTATAGGGCTAGGTAAGTTAATGCACCCAAAGTACTAATAACAGGGCCAGACACAGTAAGTACTCGGTAATATTTTTTTCAATTGATTCTCTCTCTCTCTCTTTTTTTTTTTTTTTAGAGAGAGAGAAGGGAGGGGAGGGAGGAAGGGGGAAAGAAAGAGAAAAACATCGATGTGAGAGAGACACATCGATTGGTTGCCTCACCCTGACTGGGGTCAAGGATCAAGCTTGCAACTGAGGTATATGCCCTTGACTGGGAATTGAACCCATGACCCTTCGGTCCAACACCCTAACCACTGAGCAAACTGGCCAGAAACTATTTTTTAATATGCCAGTTGAAGGTGGGTTGGTACCGAGCCTCTTTCAACCCTCGGTTGGTCTGGATTCGTGCTTCCTGTTAGGACAGAAGTGGAGCATGCGTGAAGGAAACCTCTGGTGGAGGGTGATGGGAAGTAGGATCTCTGGACAGTGCACCATCATGCAGAGCCTGTCCGAGCTCTGTTTTGGACTGAGGCTCATGTAATCACTCTGGACCTCAGTGTCTTCCTTTGTTTTCGAACTTAAAGTGGGGGGAGGCATTACGAGGGCGCATAGAGGACTGCTATCTGTCTTCCTAGCTGCTCTCCCTACTTCCATCCCTCCCTCTCCTTCTCTCCTCTTTCCCCTGCCTTCCATTCCTTCTTCTCTGTGTATGCATCCGTCAGTCTAAACCCCCTCCTGCCTTCCTGCGTGTCGTCCCTGCTCTCCATTCCTGAATTCTTACCAAAGAGGCCGCCTTGGCAACAAGCCAGCAGGTGAGTTGTTTTGCAGAAGGCGAGTGGCTTTGTGGCCAATCATTGTCCATCTCTTCCCTCGCCACTGAGCACATCGTGGGGAAGGCTGCCTGGCCACGGACTGGGCGTTGGTCTGTGAGCTAACAGGTCAGAGACTCCTCTCTCCGCCCCTGCGTCACGCTCTCACCCTGCCTCCCAGCATGTGTACCTCTGAGCAGGCCTCATGGCCTTCTTTTGCTTTCCATCCCCACTGACATGTCCCCACCCACGTTTCCCTGGGTTACAGTAATGACCCATCCCTGGCCTTCCTGGTCTTTCTGAAAACGTACATGTGACCCTTCATTCATAGGCTCAAAACCCTTCATCGCTCCTCCAGCACCTGGACACAGTCTGGACTCCTTTCCCTGGCACACAGCTCCCTCCTGATCTGGTCTCTTCCGTCTTTCCAGCCCTCCTCTGGCCCCTCAGCCCCTCCCCTCCCCCCGCCCTTCTTCTCAGGGGCTCTCTGCTGTAACACACACCGTCCCTGTCTTAGCTCCTTCCTCTTATGCCTTATAAATGTTACGCAGCCTTCAAGCCACAGCTCAAGCCCCTAGAATGGACCGACTGCTCCATCTCTCAGCTCATCCCCTGCTTGTCCGAGCTGCCCACTCACCACACTGCATTGCAGGCAGTTATTTATCCCCTGTCTCTCCTACCAGACTGCAGGCTCTTTGGCTTTCTTACTCATCTCTCTTTCCCCAGTGCCTCGCACAGTGCCCGCACATAGTAGGCCTACAGGAAACCTTTGATAATTGAAGAGCTGACTTTAGCATCATTAGCCTGGTGCTTTAAGAAATGGTGGCTTAGGGAACACTCGTGGGGATAGGAAGGAGTTTGCTATGAGTAGTCAGCTCTAGAAGTAGACTTTTACAACCCAGATAGCCTGGGAGACCTGGCTGTTTGCATTTACATCAGACACAGAGCTTGAAAAACACATGGACGCTGTAGTCAGCATTCTCTGCCACTCCTATGTACCATTCATTCTAAAATGCACACATTTTCATGTTTTCCCATCTCCCATACGGAGAAGCATCCTAAAATCGACGGCGTGCATTGGTATGCATCTTCCGATTATATTTGGTAGTGCTATTTGCTTTCTTGGGGACAGGGCGGGGGGGGGGGGGGGGGAACAGGGTATAAAAAAATAAAACAAGTGAATTTGACTCCTGATTTGGGAGCATCTGAAGGTTCGTGTTCCCTCCCTCTGGCCTCTGGGCCAGTCTGATCGTTGGTGGCATGAACAGGAGACAGAAAAGGATGGTCATAGAGCATGGACGTGGTGGGCAGGCAGATCTGAATCTACGTCCTCCTCTCCCTCACTGCTTATGCCACAGAACAGTTACGTCCTCTGCTTTCTTATCTGTGACATGGGAATGAGCCCGGCTCAGAGTTGAGAGTGAGGTTAGGTGGAGTAATGTGGAGCACCTGGCCCCGGCTGGCCCTCCGTAGGTGCCCACTCGCCAGACACATCGCGATTATTGCTACTGTTACCATTTCTGCTCACCTCCCGGCGCCTCTGCTTTCTCATAGCCATGGAGCCCATCACCCAAGACAAGCGGGTCTCCCAGGGCCATAACGGGGACCTGTATTTCTCTAACGTGATGGTGCAGGACATGCAGACGGACTACAGCTGCAACGCCCGCTTCCACTTCACACACACCATCCAGCAGAAGAACCCGTTCACCCTCAAGGTCCTCACCAGTAAGTGCGGGCCCTGCCGGGGTGGGGGCGCTGAGTGCCTGGGTCTGGGGGAGACGCGTTGCCAAGGGTAACTTAGAAACCTTTCCAGCTCACTGTGCCTGAGCCACTTCAGCTTCTCTCAGACACCTCCCGATCCGGAGCCTCGAGCTCAACTTGGTGCTGCCCTGAGTCAGTGCTTCTCAAATGGGTGGGAATCAGAATGCCCTGGGGCCTTGGCATGGGCCCCGGGCCCAGCCCTCTGGCGCCTCTCTGTGCTTCGTCAGCTCCCGGGGGATTTGGAGCCGCCAGGATTTGAGGAGCATTGTTTTAGGAGCTCATCCACACCCCTCTCATGTCCTCAGCTGGATTACTTCTTTTATGTCTCGCCATCGTTTGCTAATCTTTATTTCTAGCATAAGCCACAGCACGGAACACCCACCTGAGTGGGTGCACCTCCATGGGTTGCGTTTGATTCTGGGACATGTGTATGTTGGACCATGTGGAATCGCTGTGTTTGCAGGTTTATGGTTAGCCTTGTTTGTTCTCATTTTTATTCCTGATTCTGTCTGACGGGCATCAAAGCGGATGGGCATTTCCTGACCCACCGTAGCATTTTGCTGGCCCTGCACGGAGGAGAGAGAAGCTGACCAGCGCCGGGCACACTGCTTGCCGGGACTCACTGGCTTGGAGCTTGGGCTGCGAGTCCTCAGCCTGCTCGGGACGCTGAACGAGGCTGTGTGGGTTGTCCCCGTGGATTTGTAACATGCCTTCCATGGAGGGCCCTGCCCCAGAGACCTCAGTCTGCCTGGCTGGGCTGTGAAAGATGTTCCCCAACACTGGGGACAGAGGCGAAGGCGAGGGAAACCAGGTGCAGCTTTCTCAGGTCGGAGAAAGAGGTTGAACCCTGGCTTCCCATAACCCACAGGTGCAGGTGGCTGGCGATGCCTCCTGGAGGGTTGTGGGAGGCGGGGAGAGGCCTGGGTGAGCTCACTCCTTACTCAGGACAAGTGGGGCGACCCCCTAGAGTCCCCCTTTCCTTTGCCCAAGGAGACCTGCCGTGCCAAGAGCTGGAGCCACAAGAAGCAGCTTCCCCGCTTCCTCTCCCTTTTCTTTTTTCCTTTCTCTCCCTTTCCTCCCCTTTTCTTTTTCACTTCCTTCCTCTCTGTTTCCCTTTCCTCTTTTACTTTCTTCTTTCCCCTTCTCTCATCTGCTCTCGCTCTTTGGCCCGGTTTTACCCGCCTCTAATCCCCTCCCTCCCTCCCCCCCCCCCCCACGTCGTGCCTCTGCAGGTCCCCACACTCTGTTCTGAGCAATAGGATGGCCAGAAACCCAGGGACAAGCCCCACATGTTCCTGGCAGGGTCCCCCAGCTTCAGGCTGCTGCTGCCCCTCCCTGGCGCTCCTATTTTAGACAAGAAATGGGTCGTCTGAGGTGTCTCCTCGGGGCACGCCAGCGGGGACCGCCTGCCAGCTGGCCGAGCCGGGAGAACAGCGTGGTCTGCCTAGGACCTCGGCGGCCTCTGGGTCCAGGACGCGGCTGGCCGGGTTAGGGTGTTAGGTTGGGGGAAGGGAAGGGAGGGCAGGAGTGGCTCACTGAGCCCCTCCCTGGACGCCTGCAGTGCCATCCGCGGGTCCCTGTCTCCCTGCCCGGGACAGGCTGGACGTCAGCCTGCTGTTGGAGGGCTGGGTCAGATGACCACCCGTGGCCCTGGCAGAGGCCACCACTGTCACGCCAGGCAGATGGAGGTGGCGAAGAGCCTTCCTCTGTGGCATTGGTTAGAGATTTCAGCCACATTGACCAGTTGGTCTTTCCGGAAGCATCCTTTTCTCTGAGAAAAGGGATGTCTGTTTCTGCTCCATTAACGGGTCTCCTGTGCCACTGAAAACTCCCCGAATGCCGAGGGGCCCCGGGCGAGGCCTGCTTCCTGGAGTCTCGGGGGGCAGCCTTGGCTGGGAGGCCCCATGTGCCCTCTCCCCTCCCTGCCTGGCAGGGACGCAGGCTTTTTCCTGTGCCTTCAGGGTGGAGGCCCAGGTGGGACAGCTTCGAGACTCAGCCCTCGGGGCTCTGTCACAGCTCGCCCACCAGGAGGAATGACCCTCACCGCAGTGGATTTTGTATTTCCTGCAGTAAAGGAAGGGGCGCCTCACACACAGCACCGCGATCTGGGATCAGTTTTAACTTTGGGGTGCAGTCCCACGCAGAGCGGGTCCCGTCCACCCGGTACCTCTGGACAACGAGGGAAGAAGTCTCCCCGAGGGGACGCAGGAGCACTCACCGCCTCCCTCTGACATCTGTGTCTAAGTGACACTCTCTGGGCAGTCAGAGGCCTCCCTGAACGCTCAGAGATGCTCCCAGGTCCACAAAGGCAGGCGCAGCCTGAGCGTGGGTCTCCCCTCTGCCACTCCGCCTCTTCTTTCCCTGCAGGTCAAGTCCGCCTGTAGCTCCAGGGAAACCCACGCTGGCATCCAAACACAGGCCTTTTACACAAGCCCTGCCTTAAGGGCTAGTTCGAAGTCCTGAGCCTCTTCCTGCTGGATGCAGCCCCAGAGAGGCCAGTCTCCGGGCAGCTGTGACAGGGCTGAGCTGTCCTCCAATAGGCCAAGTCCTGGCAGGCACCTCTCCTCCCTCAGGCTGGGGCGGAGGGTTGCAAGGGGAGAGAAGAGGGAAGAGCAGTTCTGGCTTCTTAGGACTGTCTGCCTGGCTGCCAGTCAGCCGCTCTACCCCCGGCCTGTGCTACCGACAGAACCTGAACCCCGAGGCTGGAAGGGATGGCGCTACAACAGTGAAAAGCGACTTAACGATGGCAACATGACCATGCGCCCTACTTCAAAGCGCTTTCTCACGAGGGCTCAGGCCCAAGGGTTTGCTCGCCTGATGTTGGAGCGAGGCCTCTAGTTCTGCTCCTGAAGGAATGGCTTCGCTTCTGAGTCTCGGCTTAGTCAGCAGGCCTCTCCCCGTCCACAGTGTAGAACTCAAAGCACTCATTCTTTCGCCCTCTCTCTTTCGCCCCCTCTTCCTCTTTCCCCCCTCCTTCCAAATTCCCTTTCTGATCCGAAAGGCTGAGCCCCAGCCTGGCTCTGCCTGCTCCCCGGATCATTCCTCGCCTCCTCAGAAGGAGGCCTGTCTACCCACAGGCACATCTCGGAGACCAGGGTGGCACCCGCTAGTCAGGCGGGGTGCGTGTTGCTGGTCAGCACGCATTGTCGGCTGCTGCCAGGGGTCCCTCTCTCCCTCTCTGCTGACGAATGTTTCTCTGGACCGTTTTCTCTGCTCCTTTACTCCCACCCCCTTGCTACCTGGCTTCTGCTCAGACAGGATCCGGCCCTTTCCCAGGGCTCGCAAACACCGCTTTCTCTTTAGCCCCCAAGAGCTGGCTTGACCCGGAGGCCTGGCAAACGGGGATTTTGATGGGAAGCGCTTGTTCAAAGACAGCCACGGGGTATCACTAACGCTTATCTCATTTGTTTGAACATATAGTAGGACCAGGCAGTGAAGGGCCACGCCTCATTTTTTTAATTTAAAAAATAAACTTTTTTTTTTTTTTTTTTTTTTTTTTGCCTTCTTTTGCAGGAGTTAACCTTTTCTTTCTTTTTTGGGCTGTCGTGTGCTGCTTGTTCTTCACCCACGTGTATTTCCTTCCCAAGCTCGCCACGTCTTTCCTTTTTGCCAAAGGCCACGGTGCGCTCCCGGTTGTTCTGTGGCTTCGCATTTCTATTTGTTCTCCCCCGTGTACGCCTCTGTGACCTCCCCGTGGCCCCCTGTTTGCTCACCCTCTTTTGTTTATTGCAGACCACCCCTATAATGACTCGTCCTTAAGAAACCACCCTGACATGTACAGTGGTGAGTCGCAGTGGTAACCTCGGGAGTAACCTTGCTGTCCTAACCCGTTTGCCTAACTTGACTGATACCACGTCATTCACACGTGCCGAGTGGCAGGTCTGACAGCTGGCCAGGCCGGGGGGCCAAGGTGCCACCTGCCAACGCTTGCAAGGAAGACAGCGGCCAGTTGGGGAGTTTGAGGTGGCTGGTGTGGTTTGCAGGCCTCCAGTCGGTAAATTCTGCACATGTTGGTCAAACCAAGGGAGGACTTCAAAAGAGTTTCTGAGAGGGTTCCGTAGACACTTAGGCATCAGTGGTAGGTGGGGGCGGGTAACTGAGGGTGAGGAAGAACAGTAAGTCTGGTCCTGGTGTGGTTTAAAGAGCACAGAAAGCCTTTAGTGTGTGTTTTGTTAACTCTTAAGTGTCTGGGTGTGGATTGCCTGCCTTGCCGTCTAGCCGTAGCTAGTGGGGGTGCCATGTCACAGGCCCCTGGCCTCTTTAAAACCCACCTGGGAAATAGTGAGAGTTCAGCTCTGAGTCCTGTTTCAAGGTGACTGTGGATGAAGTTGTGCTGTCCCTGGCCCTCCTCTCTCCTCGGGGAGTGCACGCAAATGCAATGCTCACCCGTCCACACGTTTGCAAGTCACGGAACAGTTTCCATGAGGCACAGCTAACTCGTCACACAACGGGTTGCTCAAGCTGATTAACGGAGTAATTGGCTCCTTCCACACCTGGGTTACTCCCCCCGTGGCTCAAGATGCCCCATTTCCCCCAGTAGCCAGAAGAATCGTCATATTCTGGCTCTGACAAGACAGCTGGCCCCATCATCAGCCTCGCCTCCTAAGGTGGGACTGCAGGTCCCCAGGGGGGCGTTGTGGGCTCCACGAGACAGGAAGTGTCTGTTTTGTGATGTGCTAATGTAAACAGTGAGTGGGGGATGGGAAGAGGGGTGAGAGGCAAAGGCTCTAACTTGGCACCAAGCAGCTAGAGCCACACTGAGATCCTGCCAAGGAGATTTACTGCCTGAGGAAGCAGGGGATCTTTGCTGGATTCTGGGTGTTATTTGTTTTCTAAACGATGGGGCCGCCGCCATGCTGTCCAGAGCCCCAGCGCACTGGTGTGGAATGTGCCTTTTTCTAAATTGGATTTCGGGTAATCTATTATAGGAATATTCTTAAAGCTGAAGAACATCAGAGCCAGACGGTCCCTTAGAGACCGTCTGGCCCCAGCTCCTCACTTTATGGAAGATAAACAATTCAGGGCATAAGCATATGGGGTTGTTTTGTCAATGGAGTTGTTTTATCAATGGCGTAGGCTTGGGTGATTCTAGCCGCTTAAACCAGTTTAGTATTACAAATGAATGAGTGGGAGTTGTAAGAACCAAGGGCTATGAAAACAAGCAAAACTCACAAATCCTTGCATTGTTACCGGAGAGGGACCATGCCCAGAGCAGGTCTGCCTGAGGCCGGCCTATGGTGTATGGTTTCTTGCAGGAAAGATTTCACAACACGAGTTCAGGTGATTCTTTTTTCTTCTTCTTCTTCTTTTTAGGAATTGTTTATTGATTTTTAGAGGGAAAGGGAAAGAGAGAGAAACTTGATGTGAGAGTACATCGCTGGGCTGGCTCCTGCACACTCCCTACCAGAGATTGAGCCCAAGAATGTGCCCTTGACTGGGAATCAAACCTATGAGGGATGACTCACAACCAACTAAACCACACCGGCCAGGGCAGAGTCCCGGTGATTTTGAGCTGGGGACAGTGGAATAGGAAGGGTTGAGATAGAAGAAGCTACAAAAGAAATTCTAGGCCAGGCTGCTGTGTCGCTCTAGAAATGTTATAGGAAAGAAGTGTGCCTAGGCGAGCCTGTAGCCAGCTCACCGGAGAGTCAGAGAAAAGGGGACCTTGGAGACAGATTCAGGGGGTTAAACTGGGACGAGCTGCTGCTAATCCTTGCTCCCCTGGTTGCACGTCTCGCTGGGACACTTAAGAGTTTAAGAGAAAGATAACTCACTCAAAAAGGAGATTCAACTGAGCACTGGCTTCGTTGTCTGGAGGGGTTTTATCTGCTTTCCAAAGGCAGGGATTTTAGGGGAGGTCTCAGGAGGAGGATCGCAATAGAATAGTCATCACCTTTCCAGAAGTGCCCTTTCAGGGCCATGGCCTTCATTGGACTGATGGACACCAGGGAAGGGATCGTTAATCATTGCAGCTGGGTCTGGCATCGCCACCTGGCCTAGCTGCCTTTCTGGGCCTGGAGCTGAAACACAGCTGAGGCCTCGATGCTCTCTCTACGGAGGCAGGGTCAGGGCGTCCAAACAGCATGGCCAGCGACATGCCAGGGGCGGAAAGAGCACCCTGGGGGAGAGGTTCAGCACCAGTTTTGCCTGTTGCCAGGCACTTAGAGTGCTTTCTGCCCCGGTCGACCGTCTCTATCTGACTGTAAATTGCTCAACCAGTGTGTCCAGCTGTCAGCCTCAGTTTCCCCATTCCACTTGCCAAGGAATTTTCCTGGCTTCTTGCCATCCTGCCTCGACATGAGAGGGACCCCTTCTCTTGAAGTCAAGGGAGAATGGCTGACCAAGCATGACGGCAGCTGGGAAGGTTGTAAAGTCAAAGTGAGACCCGTGCTGAACAAAGGATAGCTGCTGTGTTGGATGCTTCTAGAAAGAAAGAGAAACTGAAAAGAAAGGAAAGGAGATAAGGCCCTTCCTGAGTGCAGAGACCTGGCAGAGAGACTGTGCGGTGAAGAATGTCCAGTGCATTGCTGTGCTTGGCTATGAAGCATGGAGGTCCCTTTTGTATCGATAGCAGCAGGCCCCCAACCCCCATCATTACATTCCATTCTAGTGATTTCTGCAGTGGTTTGGTGTCCTCTGAATGGATGCCAGATGCTCCCCTGACTTGCCCAGACCAGGAGAGGAGGAAGATGAGAGTGTGCATGCTGAAGGAGACTGCCATGAGTTAAACTCGGGCTCCGGGATGCACCATTGATTGACCTTGAGCAAGTCATTTAGCGTGTCAGGCCTTTTCATCTGCCAAATGGGTCTATTTCCTGCCCCATCGTTTTGTTGTGAAGATTAAATAGGGCTACATGCATGTGGTTCCTGGCATGTTGTCAGACACACCAGTGATAGTGAAGGGAATGGTTTAGGATTGACTGTCTGAAGTGTAACTGTCTTACGCTTCTGACATGAGGAAGAATTCCAAGTGCTTGAAGGCAAGCCAAGGGGAGGAAGTAGGCACAGTCCTGGGAAGAGAGGACTGTGGAGGGAGAAGCTTCAGGGCAGGATGTAAAGACAAAAGCTGCTCAGATCTCAGTGGTGCTCAGAGCTGGGGAAGGAAAAGCCCTCACTGCTGCCCAAGAGGTTGGGGTTAAAGTTGCAAAGGGACTTCGCGGCAGGGGGAGAAGCCGATGTTACTGGGTAAGGAGCTTTCCTTGTTCTCTGGGTGGTTGGTCAGCAGTTCCTAGAACCAGAGAGGGGGTGAGATGGCAGGGATCCAGCCCATGAGTCCTCCATTCTGAGGACTGAAAGCAGCAAACGGGGGACCTGGCTGGCCCTAAAGCTGCTTCTGGCAAAGGTTCTTGGGTACATCTGACCGATTGAACTCTCTTCCGCTAACAGACAGCCCCTGACAGAGGGGAGCAGCTCGGATGTTCCGCAGCCTCGACCTTGCCTCTTGCAGGAGACAGTGGAGGCATTTTTTGTTGGCCCTCTGAAGTCACCTCATGTCCCCGGCTGACCAGCTTCCTCTGGAAACCCGTATGCCCACTCTTGGAGCCACGTTGTGAGAGCAGGAGAGCAGAGACTGCCCTTGGGCTAAAGGTCACATGGGCCCACGTGGGCGATCTTCCTAAATCGGCTTCTGGGTTCTGAGTTCGATCAGGTATTGGGTCGACCCAGTCCTGAAAATCAAGGAGCGTAAGGGAAGCATCATCAGCTGGACAGGGGTCCCTGCCTCCGTAGTGAAAGAGGGTGTCCTATGTCACCCTTGGAAACTGTCATCTTCCATTAGTGTCTCATAGCGTGTCATGTAGTAAGCACCTTTGTCTCAGAGATTCCTCCTGGGTCTACTCTAGCAGCTGGATTATCTTTTATACATTTTATTTTAAATCCTCGCTCCAGGAACTATTTTTTTTTTATTATTTTTTAAATATATTTTATTGATTTTTCACAGAGAGGAAGAGAGAGGAATAGAGAATTAGAAACATCGATGAGAGAGAATCGTCGATCAGCTGCCTCTTGCACATCCCCTACTGGGGATGTGCCCGCAACCAAGGTACATGCCCTAGGCCGGAATCGAACCCAGGACCTTTCAGTCTGCAGGCCGACACTCTATCCATTGAGCCAAACCGGTCCCGGCTATTTTTATTATGTTTTTAGAGAGAGAGAGAGAGAGAGAAACATCAGTGTGAGAGAGAAACATCGATTGGTTGCCTCCTATATGTGCCCTAACCTGGAATCGAACCCACAACCTTTTGGTTTATGGGACAAAGCTCCAACCGACTGAGCCACCTGGCCAGGGCAGTGCTTCATAAATTGTTATGTAAACCCCTCCTGCTGCAGCTGACCCCATCTCTTCACAACCTCCCCGGTGGTCCAGCCTTCTTGTCCCGCATGATATCACGTGTCACCCTGACGCCTCTCCAAGCTTTTCATGGCCTTAAGAATCCAGTTGAGCCGAAATCGGTTTGGCTCAGTGGATAGAGTTCCAGACAAGGGCATGTACCTTGGCTGCGGACACATCCCCGGTGGGGGGGGGGGGGGGGTACAGGAGGCAGCTGATAGATGTTTCTCTCTCATCGATGTTTCTAACTCTCTATCCCTCTCCCTTCTTCTCTGGAAAAAAAAAATCAATAAAATATGTTTAAAACAAATGAATCCAGTTGAAATGCCTTTGGAGCCTTAGTTCCCAGCCTAGCTTCTTTCCCCACTCGGGCCAAAGTATTCTTACTCGTCACCGAGGAGAGGTGGCATCTTACCTGAGACAGTGGGAACAATGTCTGAGGAAAACATACTGGAAGAGGCTCACCACCAAAGCTAAGATGAAAACACCTTCCTCCTTCACCTCTTTTGCCCTTGAATCTTGTTTTTCTTTGAACATGAGACATATTCCCAAAGCTGTGGGATAAGTGAGGGATCCACCTTTAAAGAGAGAAGCAATATAGAGCAGATGTCAGAACAAAAGCTTTGGTGCTAAGTGGTCCAGCATCCAAAACATAACTGCTTGGGACCTTGGCAAGTCCGTTGACCTTGCTGAGCCTCCGTTTTCTCTGCTGAAAATGGGGGTGATGCCCCGAGGTTTGTTTCGGGGATTTACCAGGATGATGTGGATGGAGGTGCTGGCACAGCGCGTGGTCCATGTGAAGGCTCGCCCAATGGCGGCCCCAATGATTACCTCTGACTTCTAGGACGCTCTTCCCTATATTGTTGAGTGTTGGCTTATTTCCCAGTAGCTTCTCCCCTTATAGGATAATTCTGTGGTTGCTAGCCCACATCTTACACATGAAATATTGCTATAACCTTTGTTTTTAATCTTCACCCAAGGACATGGAGAGAGAGAGAGAGAGAGAGAGAGAGAGAGAGAGAGAGAGAGAGAGAGAGAAAGCTCCAATGAGAGAGAAACATTGATCAGTTGCCTTCCGGATGCGCCCCAACTGGGGGTCAAATCTGCAACCCTGGTGCTCTGACCAGGAATCGAACCAGCAACCCTTTGATACATGGAATGACGCTCAACTAACTGAGCCCCTCTGGCCGGGCACTGTCACCTTTTTTATAGTCACAGCTACAGCATGTCAAGGCACCCACAGTGGGACTCTGTGCTCTCTCTTCCTCCTTCCCACACTTAATGCTTTGCTGGTCACATGTGCTTGTGGTCCTGTGTGCAGTGGTGTGACTTACATGTCCACAGGGTCACAGGTTGGTTTCTGCAGGTGGTATCCCAGCAGGAAGGAGTATGCCCACTGAGCTGGGACTTCTTCTACGTAATCCTAAGGTTCCTGACTCCAGAGCCTCCTGCTTGAACTCCTCCTCTCCTTGTGGTGCCCTTGACCTTGTGTTGTCTGTTTTGGTGATCACATGACGGTGGGTGGGAGGAAGCTGCTGCTTTGGTATCAGGCTTCCTTGGTACCAGGAGCTGGATGCTACATGAGTTATAGATATAAGTATGGTAACCAATTAACCACATAATGGATTAACCCCTTCAGTAGCCACTGTGGTAAATGTGTGTGCAGGGTGGACAGATGAGGACATCTACAGAGGGAGAAATAACATGGCGGGGGTCGCTTGCTGCCTTCTTTTTGTTCTCTTCTCCCCTTGAACGCATTCATCTCACCCGTGTTTATTGTGCACTTGCTGTTTGCCATGTGTTGCTCCAGCCGCCTAATTAACCTTTGCATGCGTTTCATCATTTCCCCCCCTGACAAAGGCGCAAACTCTACGAAATGGCTAATGGAGAGAGGCTGGGTGCCCCTGGGACTAGCCTCCGCTGATCCAGCCAGGCACCAGCTACTCCAGCAAGCTCCTTTGGGAGGCCCCAGGGTCAGAGAGTGCCGCGGCCATGCTGTCCTCTCTGACGGCCTTCCTTCACAGGCTCCGCCCAGGAAAACGCCTTTGTTCCCTGGGCGAGCACTCTGAGGGCTCCCAGCTCCTGGCAGCTCTGCCCTCCTCCCACCTCTCCCCTGTCCGCTGGGTGGGAGACCCAGTAAGCCCATGAGTAGGCCCACGTGCATGTCTGTTTTTGTACACTTTTGGGCACAGGTGTCTCTCCACGCCTCCCATGCTTTGGGCTCCTGGTTGAAAACTCCCGGTTCCTCTTCCTTCCATCACATCCATCTAACAGAACTACACAGAGCCCCGAGGGAGCCCTGAGCTCAGGCGGCGGGCTCCACCCTGCTGGGGTGTGCCCAGACCCGCCCGACCCCTCCCACTGGGAAAGGGCCACCCCGACAGCGTCTGCCAGTCTCTGCGGGCCACCGGCTTCACACCTGTGCACGTCATTAACTTCACAGCCTGGGGCTACTCTGGCTCCTTGATTTGCACATCCCCTCCCCTCACATGCAACCCACACCCTCCTGCCTGCCCCCACCCACTTCCGGAGTCATTAGTGACGCAGTCTTGGCCCCAGAAGTGATTTCCTGTCATCTCTGCTCGTTAATTTTCCCCGTGTCTTTGCTAACCCATCAGTAACGCTCACCGAATCTCTAACTGTTCATCGGTGTCTCGTGGCTTCATCTCAGCTTCCTGTCTCCAGGGTCCCCAAGAGCAGCTTGCCTGCCCTGTGGTCCCAATGTGTGCCTTCCCCTTCCTCCCTCTGCTGCTGAGATGGCCCCCCAGGGTCTACCCCACTGGCCTCTGGGGTCCCCACACAAGATGCTCAGGGAACAAACCACTCGCCGCTCAGGCAGCCTCGCCCCCTTTCCAGGGCATGGGGAGGGAAGCGGCTCCTCTTGGCAGGTCCTTTCAGAAGCAGAGCTGCTCACACATGTGCCCGAGGGGCCCAGGAGCCCCGAGCTTCCTAACTCCCTCTCTTAATGATGCCCAGCCCTCGGGTGGTTTCGGCTGGGAGGGGGCGGGCCCTGGGGCCTCTGAGGGGAGGGGGACAGCCAGGCGAGGTGACATCTCTTCCTAGCCTGACAGCCTCGGCCTATGTGGGCCAGCCCCCAGGGCAGGAAGCTCAGCCGGCTCGTTCTGTCCTATTCCAGCCCGGGGAGTCGCAGAGAGGACGCCCAGCTTCATGTACCCGCAGGGCACCGCGAGCAGTCAGATGGTGCTGCGCGGCATGGACCTGCTGCTGGAGTGCATCGCCTCCGGGGTGTACGTACCACCTCCCCCCACTTCTGGCCGCCCTCCTCAGGGGGCTGGGAGGTAGCTCGGGTGTGCTCTGGGTGCCACGGTTCGGGGTACAGAAAGAGAAGCAGACAGCCCTCCATCCCATTCTGGCCATCTCTCTCTGGATAGCGAGGAAAGGAGGACGGGCGGGCATGCTGGACAGGTAGGAATCTCTGAGGCCTTAGACTGAGGTGACCAGACGTCCCGCTTTTGGTGGGACAGTACCGCTTTTTAACAACTTGTCTCGCGTCCTGCGGCGTTTTAAAAAAAAAAAAAAAAAATCCAAAAGATTTAAAAGAATCTTTCCAAAAATCGGGACTTTTTTTAAATGCCGTGGGACAGATTGTTAAAAATCGGGGCTGTCCTGCCAAAAGCGGGGCGTCTGGTCACCTAACCTTAGCCACGTCCCTCAGATGCTGTGTGCTGAGCCGCCGTCTGTAGGAGAACAGCTGTCGGAGGTTAGGTACCCCTGGGCCCGCGTAGAAGACCCCAGACTGCGGAGAAGAGTCGCAGAGCCACGGTTTATAATAAATCCCTCGTTCCTGCCCGGCCCCTCTCCCAGCCCAACACCAGACATCGCTTGGTACAAGAAAGGTGGGGACCTCCCGTCCGACAAGGCCAAGTTTGAGAACTTCAACAAGGCGCTGCGCATCACCAGCGTGTCCGAGGAAGACTCGGGGGAGTACTTCTGCCTGGCCTCCAACAAGATGGGCAGCATCCGGCACACGATCTCGGTGAGAGTAAAGGGTACGTTGTGTGTATTTCTCATTACGGTGATTTTGCCAGCCCTCCACGCCACCACCGCCCTTCCCTCTGAGGGTGGCTGGGGCAGGGTGAGTGGGGGGAACTCAACACGCTGGTCGGTGGCAATAGTGACCTCTCAGGGATGGTGTCACCGTGGAAGTGAGTGTGTGTGTGTGTGTGTGTGTGTGTGTGTGTGTGTGAGGGGGGGTGGTTGGAGATGGGTGTTGAGGGAAGAAGATCTATCACGCAACTCCCTGGGGCTCCCTCAGCAGGTGGGTGTCATGGTCTGTTTGATTCACACTCAGAGCCTTCTCCTTATTCATTTTGCATTCCTGTTCACGGTGTGTCCTCTTCTCCCTGTGCTGTCTGTGTACTGTGCTTGGTTCTTTCTAAAAATGGGAGGGTCATCATGGCCCACACTATTTCTTTAAAAGTCACACCCCTCCCCCACAAGCGTAGCTGGCCCACCTGAGCTCGAGTAAACAACAGAACAGGTGCCTTTGTGGCTTCTAGCCATGGGTGTCAGACTGGATGGGTGACTGGGTGATGAAGTCTGGTCCCACAGTGCAAGAACTTCCTTAGCTCACACTCAGTTACACTTGTGACCTTGGTTTCAGCCCTCCACTCAGACCAGAGGTTCTTAATCTTCCAGGGAGTATCAAGAGCTTTGGTACAAAGAACCCTGTTCTCAGAAAAATCCACATGTATTTATACACATAGAACATGGCAACGACCGGAATGACTGGATGTTTTGACGCGCACTGTGACCCTGATTGGCCCTCCCCAACCCCAAGCGGCCCACACACACACACACACTCACCAATCAGAGGTGGGGTGGGCCAGCCAGACCCAATTCGTGCACGAGTTCATGCACCGGGTCTCTAGTATCCATATGTTTGCGAAGTTTTCCAAATAGTGGAAAGGGGTGGTCAGCTATGAGCTTCTGCTCTAACCAAAGCTCAGTGCCTAAGAGAGTGAGTGTAAGTAGCGGGCCTTTCCAGAAAGGTCTCATGTTGCAGCAGCAACAACGGAAACCCAGAGGGGCCAACCCAATGCCTGCCTTCCCACCATCCCTGGCTTGGCCCTTGGGTGCCCATCATGAACACCAGGGCCTCTTAAAGCATTTGCCCCCAGAGACTCTCCTGCAGATTCCCATTCAGTGGGTCTGAGATGGGCCCTGGCACCCGTTTTGGTTAAAAGCTCTTTAGGAATCGCTCATGAGCAGCCCCAGATTGGAACTCTTGTTCTGTGAACTCGAAATAGGCAGGCCGGCATTGCTGGTGTTGAGCCGGCCCAAGGCAGACTGGGCAGAGCCATCCATGAGGATGAGCTGGGGGCGGGTGTGGAGGGGCTGGGCTGGCCCTCAGAGGCTCCTGTCTTCCTAGAGGAAGCCTGTCTGCACCTTCTAACTCCTGCCTGTGCTGCCCTTGTCTTCCAGCTGCTCCCTACTGGCTGGACGAGCCCAAGAACCTTATCCTGGCTCCCGGCGAGGATGGGAGGTTGGTGTGTCGAGCCAATGGGAACCCGAAGCCCACTGTCCAGTGGATGGTGAACGGGGAACCTTTGCAATGTGAGTAACTAGGCATTGTCTCCCCTGACTGCTCTGTCCGCCAGCAAAGGCTCCTGGTCTTGTCCCTGTGGTGCCCCTGGTTGTTCCAGAAGTGAGGGAGCAGCCACCTCTTCGGACACTTCCAGAGGCAGGAGCCCTGCCTCGTGTCTGCGTGAGAGGGCGGAGCCTGGGGTTCTCTCTCTGTTGAGGGCATTTCTGCTACCTTGGGGTTTTCATCAACCTCTGCTCTGTGCCCTTCACAACTGCAGAGCCCAGGTCAAGGTTTGGGGTCTGCGGCTGCACCTCCTGAGAGCCTGGGCTCTGAGTGATGTCTGGAGCTCGGGAGATAGAGTAGAGCTCAGTAACTCTTTGTGGTTGGCTGCCCGGGTCCGCTTTCTGCTGAGGGCGCACCAGGAGGCAGGGTGGCGGGGCAATGGGAACGGTCTGGTCGGCTATGAGAAAGCACCTTCCCAGGAGAACAGACGTGCCCGGGCAGAGTTCAGTGTACACAGACTCGGGGGAAAGGTCGTCCTGCCTGGATGGCTGGAGTAGGGAGTCCAAGGCTCCTTCCAGCAGGAGGCTTGGTCAAGATTTCCCATCATTCTCTTCAGAGGCTTGGTCAAGATTTCCCATCATTCTCTTCAGAGGCTTGGTCAAGATTTCCCATCATTCTCTTCAGAGGCTTGGTCAAGATTTCCCATCATTCTCTTCAGAGGCTTGGTCAAGATTTCCCATCATTCTCTTCAGAGGCTTGGTCAAGATTTCCCATCATTCTCTCCCGGAGCATTTACTTTTTAAAATGTCCTGTCATTACTTTCGCTAGAGCAGTGGTTCTCAGCCTTTCTAAGGCCACGACCCTTTTATACAGTCCCTCATGTTGTGGTGACCCCCAACCGTAAAGTTATTTTCGTTGCTACTTCATAATGGTAATTTTGCTACTGTTAATGAATCGTAATGTAAAATCTGTGTTTTCCAATGGTTTTAAGCTCCACAGCAGCGGTTCTCAACCTGTGGGTCGCCTAAGATCATAACTGCAAAATAACAGTTATGAAGTAGCAACTAAAATAATTTTATGGTTGCGGTCACCACAACATGAGGAACTGTGTTAAAGGTTGAGAACCATTGCTCTAAGGGGTCAGAGGAAATGCAAAAAGTGAAGTCGATCAGATTGTGGGGTGGGGGGGTGGAATAGATGGCGAGAACTCAGAGTCTACCTCCAGAGCAGCCAGTGGAGAGGCAGGTGCAGGAGAGGGTGAGAGCACCTTTTAGACACTTGCCGTGTCCCAGCCACTGCAGGAGGTGCTGCAGTCCTCTCTCTTTAACCTCAAACATTACCCATGAGGAAGCCAGGTTCTGAAGGTGTGTCAGCTGCCCGAGTCACATGACCAATAAGGAGGAAGCTATGGGAACGCAGCGGTCCTGCACCATCTATAGTACTGAGCACCCATTTATCCCAGTGGCTGTCCCTCCCCTGGACGCAGAGAGACCGGACTTGCCTGCCCTCTGTTGCTTCTCCCTGTCCTGACAGCCTCTGGGGACAAGGCCAACAAAAGCTCTAAATGGCACAGCACCCGGGACTCGCTGCTGAGCCTTGGTCCTGGGAAGGGCACCTGTCACTTATGGGGAGTGACCGGAGGGGAGGTGGGGCCACGAGAATTGCTCGGCTAGGCGCCAGCAGTGCCGGCCTTGGGTCTTTTTGCTGATAAAAAGGGAAGGGTGATAAAGATGTTGACCTTGACTTCACTTACGGCCTGCTGATTCCCCAGCTCAGACTCGCTATCTGTGGAGTGGCGCCCATGGGCCAGACCCTGGGGCCTCCTCAGCCGCTGACGGTTGGTCAGTCTGAGCGATCCCGGATGAGTTCACGGATCGAGGAAGCTTACAGACGAGCATCGCCTTCTGGTGATGAGAGACGAGAAAAGCGGTTGTTCTTACATTTCCAGAAAAACATTTATTGTACAGCCCATTACCGTTCTCTTCTCCTAACCCTCCTTAGACAGGGGGGCGGTGGGAGTACTTTCTCCCCATTCGGCAGGTGAAGGAAATGAGGCCCCGAAAGACTGGATTTGCCCCGGATTCCCAGCCGGATGCACCGGTGCGCGTGGAATGTTCCCCCTGCGCGTGGGAAACCTGGCCTGGGACAGGGGGAGGGGGGGTACCTTTGTCAGACAGAAGGACTGTGCAGTCTCCAACAGGAGTAACTTGGGGGATGTCTGCAGAAAGCTCTGCTCTGAGGATGGGCAAGAGGCAGGTCTACCTTAGTGCTTCGACCTTTTCAGGACAGACTTCAGTGTATGCACATAGGATTAAAATATTAACAACAGTGATTGTCAGTACGGGCCGGGCCCTCTGCCAACGGCCTGGCACCTTCCTAGAACCTCAGGTCATCCTCGTAAAAGCCGTACACAGTGGCAGCGAGCCCCCTTCTGCCCACAAGGAAACCGATGCTGAAGGGATCTGGTTGGAAATTCAGACCCCTTCCTGTTGCCACAGCTTATGTGTCAAGCCCCACCTGCCCAGCTGCTACTGAGCAGGAATTCATATCCCCGTTGGACAGACTGAGAAATAAGCTCCAGAAGGTTCGACGATGGGCCACGCAGTGGTGGGGCCGGAACGGGGTCTTCTGCACACCCAGCCGTGCTGGGGAGCCCCGCACAGAGCCCCAGGGTCCCCTCGCCTGCCCTCCCGCCCCCCGTTTCTCACAAGAGGCCTCTTTCCTCTCCGTAGCGGCACCTCCCAACCCGAACCGCGAGGTGGCCGGGGACACTATCATCTTCCGGGACACGCAGATCAGCAGCAGGGCCGTGTACCAGTGCAACACCTCCAACGAGCACGGCTACCTGCTGGCCAACGCCTTCGTCAGCGTGCTGGGTGCGTGTCCCCGTGTCCCTCCTGCCCTTCCCCCCCCACTCCTGCTGCTTCTCTGGGCGTCACGTCACGCGTGGGCTTACGCTCCTGTCTGGAGGCCAGCCAGGCTGGCGATGGGAAGCGTGGAGACCAGAGAGAAAGAGGTGTGGGGAGGAGGGAGGGCTTAAAACCCACAGAGCCAGATGTGCAGACAGAGTGGCTTCCCTGCCGGAAGCCAGCCTTGGCCCCTCCTCCCCTGGTGTCCCCCAGCGGGCCTGTCTCTGTCTGGTCGCCTTGGGGTGTCCGTGCTGACCCTCCTGGGGTCTCAGCGGGTCGCAGAGCCGGAGCAGTTCTGAGATGTCTGCAGCACTCCCGGGGGCGGGGGGAGGGGCAGGTGCAGAGCCTGCTGGGTAATTTGGGGACGGACACCTCGGGCAGAAGCTGGATTGGAAAGAGGGTAGTTCGGGAAGGGAAAAGCTCCCTCCTCCCTCACCTACCCCTTCGAGGCTTTTTAGAGGAGCCATGTGGGGAGGGGCAGGGCGGCGTTGGGAAGCTGCTGTTGGAGGAAGCAGGTAGAGATAGGACGAACGGGAAAGGGATGGGAGAGAGAGACACCCCCCACCACCACCACCACCTAAAACCCCTGGTCTGGGACTTACAGACGTGCCGCCTCGCATGATGTCACCCCGCAACCAGCTCATCCGGGTGATCCTGTACAACCGCACGCGGCTGGACTGCCCCTTCTTTGGCTCCCCCATCCCCACACTCCGCTGGTAAGTCCCAGGGGACCAGGCCTCCCCAGCAGGGGCCATCTGGCTCCCCCTTTGTCATTCCCCATCTGCCCATAGTAGGTATGGAGCAAGGCCTGGGCACCTTCAAGGGGCAAAGCTGGGAGGAAGTTGGCAGATCAGCTGGGTCCACCCCCCGTGCTGTGCACAGAAGGACACCGAGGCCCGGGGTGGGGCAGACACTTGCCAGGGGCCACTCCGTGGCCGGAGGGAGACCCTGCAGGACGAGGGCTCCGGGCTCCCGGCGTGGAGCTCCTCCCACAGCCCACCCCGCTCTCTCTCGCGTGGTTGGCCCGCGCCCCGGGGCCAGCCCTCTCTCAGTGTGTGGTGTGTTCCGCTGCTGTGTTGTGAGGTTTAAGAATGGGCAAGGGAGCAACCTGGATGGTGGCAACTACCACGTCTTCGAGAACGGCAGCCTGGAGATCCAGATGATCCGCAAAGAGGACCAGGGCATCTACACCTGTGTGGCCACCAACATCCTGGGCAAAGCCGAGAACCAGGTCCGCCTGGAGGTCAAAGGTAAAGAAGGGGGGTGGTGGGTGGAGGGCGGGGCCGGGGGCGGGGGTGGAGCTGGGGAAGGAGGCTGTCTTCGCCAGGTGGCCCATGTGTGTTTTGCACTTTGGAAATGCACACGCCTCCCTCCTGCTGGATCCCCAGCGGGACACTCCCAGTGGGTCAGGGTGTTCTCCCAGGGCTTCCCGCTGGCCCTGGGTGCTGGGCCACAGAGTCCTGTCCACCTGGTCCCCATGGCATTAGGAAGGAAAGCCTACCCACCCGGCTGCCACCGCCACCCCAGGAACTGCATCAGCTCCTTCCGAGCCCGATTGAGAGGATCTGGAGTGGTTACCTATTGGGGATCACCCACACCAGCCCCCCCCCCCCAATTCATGCAATGAGAGTCTGTTTCTGCCACCTCCCTTGATGGGTCTAACCTTGAAGTTGCTTGTGTCACCCCGGATCCATGCTGGGATGACGGGCAGAGGGCGTGTCAGCGCCGAGCACTGGGTTTCTCCGCAGACCCCACCAGGATCTTCCGGATGCCCGAGGACCAGGTGGTCAAAAGGGGCACCACCGTGCAGCTGGAGTGCCGGGTCAAGCACGACCCCTCCCTGAAGCTCACGGTCTCCTGGCTGAAGGACGACCAGCCGCTCTACATCGGGAACAGGTCTCCGCTCCGCCCTCGCCCCTTCCTGGTGTCGCCCCGGGGCCCTTTCCTTTCCCTTCTCGGGTCCCTGCAGATCCCAGGGCTAGGGAGCCTGTGTCCAGCCTGTCCCCGAGGAGCCTGTCCCTGAGTTGGGCAGGTGGCCTCAGGGAAGACCCTGCACCCTCTCCCTGTCTCCCATCAGCTCTCTGCTTCCCTTTCCCTCTCCTCTCTTTCCAACTCCTTTCTCTCTTCACTTTTCTCCCCTCGCTCCTCTTTTCCTCCTTCCTTTATTCTGACTCCTCCTCTCCTCCTCTTCTGCCTTGCAGCCAGGACCCCCCTCTTCCCGCAGCTTCCGCCCTGCCCGCAGTGCCCCTGTTCTCCAGCAGAGGGCAGGGCTGGCCCGAGCCCACTAGGACCCCTGGGAGGCTTTTCCTAGCCTCAAGCCTGCCTCCTTCCTCATCCCAGATTCGGATTCAGTGGGTGTGGGGAGGGCTGGGCACCAGCAGGGTGTACACCTGCCCGCGGGGGTCTCTGGTGCCGTCAAGGTCCGAGCCTCCCCCCCAGGGTCCTCTGTGCACCTTCTTCACCTCAGGGCCCTGAGGTTGCCTTAGGCACCAAGGACCACCTGGTTTTTTGTGGGGGTGTTCCCCACCCCCCGAGGGCAGGTACATCCTGGCACTCATTTGCTGCTCACGCCTGCCTGCTCTTTGGTGCCCTCCCTCGATGGAGGGCTAAGCCCAGGTGCAGAGACCAGTCTGGGCTGGAGATGGAGCTGGAGAATGGGGAGAGGCGGGGTCTCCACTTGCGTTTGGGGGTGGGTCTAAGTTGGGAGGGAGCGCAGCCCAGGAAGGCACAGAGAGCAGGTGTCCTTTGAGGACTGAGCACGGCTCAGGGCCATGTGGGGTCCCCCTGTTCCTTCTCCCCTTTATTGAGCACCGTCAGTGCTGGTGACACCCTATCTCTCGCTGGCATTGTGATGGGGCTCATGTCCCCCAGAGGGGCTGTGGCTGCCCAGCCCAGCCTGGGGCTCCCCTCCCGCTCCGACTCGCCTCCCATCCAGGGAGAAAGCAGCAGGCGGTGCCTGGCACTCCCCTTGTCTCTCCCATTTCCCCCCTCTCACTCTCCTCCCAACCCTCGGTGCCTTTGCAGAATGAAGAAGGAGGACGACTCCCTGACCATCTTCGGTGTGGCCGAGCGGGACCAGGGCAGCTACACGTGCGTCGCCAGCACGGAGCTGGACCAGGACCGGGCCAAGGCCTACCTCACCGTGCTAGGTAACTGCCGCTGTCCGTGGCGCTGACCTCCTCGCCCTTCCTGCAGCCGCAGAGGCCGGGGCTGGCACAGTTCTGTGATCCGCTAGCCGCCCGGCTGTGGCCGTCTCCTGCCCTTTGACCTAAGGGTTTGGGGGCTGCTCCTTTCGAGAGAAGCTGAGTTTGATGACTTGCCTCCTAAGTAGAGCTATTAACTCCCTGTGTTCTCACCCCAATGAGAGCGGGAAGGTGGACAGGGTTCGGGGGGGGGGGGGGTGGAGGGGAAGGGTCGTTCTCACCAACGTTACAGCTAACTCTAAACCACTAAGTTCATTAAAACCATCCTTCATTGAAGCAAGACTGAACTTTGTGTTTGTCCTTCCCACACCTCTGCTGGCCTTCCTTCCTCCCCGCTTCCCCATTGGAATCACAGGGCACTGTGCACTCAGCACTCAGCGGGGTGACCCCACCTTGTCCAGGCTGTGCTGAACATATGAAGTCATCCCAAACCTGGGGAGGGAGCCAGTCCCGTCCAGGGAGGCTGAGTGCCCGTTGTCCCTCATCACCTCTGTCCTCTCTCTGGGCCCCTCTGCCCTTCCTCTTAGTGCATTGTGTCCCTTCCCCAGTGGACGCACACGGGCCCAGGAGATAGAGCTCCGGTGATGGTGGCTCTGGGACAGGAGGGAGGTGATGGGGCCCTGGGACAGGAGGAAGATGGGGCCTGGGGTGATGGGGCTCTGGGTGATGGGGCCCTCAGACAGGAGGGTGATGGGGCCCAGGATGATGGGGCCCTGGGACAGGAGAGTGATGGGGTCCAGGGTGATGGGGCCTTCGGACAGAAGGGTGATGGGGCCCAGGGTGATGGGGCCCTGGGACAGGAGGGTGATGGGGGGACAGGAGAGAGATGGGGCTCAGGATGATGGTGGGGTGGCCCTGGGACAGGAGGGAGATGGGGCTAGGGTGATGGGGGCTCAGGGAGATGGGGCTCAGGGTGATGGGGGCTCAGGGAGATGGGGCTCAGGGTGATGGGGCCCTCGGACAGGAGGGTGATGGGGCCACAGGAGGCCTCTAGGAGTGCGGCTCTGTGGAAGGAGAGGTTAGCCGTGGGAAACATGTTGCAGGGGCAGCTCTCCCAGCCTCGGCTGCCTGTTCCCACCCTGTTGGAACACCTCTAACCCCAGATAACCAGCTAACCTGGTTAACCGTCTTACCTTTGCAGCTGATCAGACTACTCCAACTAACCGTTTGGCTGCCCTCCCCAAAGGTAATTCTTACTAATCGGGACCCTCACCAAAGCCCTTGCTAGGCCCGGGGAGGGTGGGGTCTCAGAGGAGAGCAGTCCAGGAGGTGCTGGGTGGGTGGTGCGTCACCCCCACGCCCTGCCCAATCCGCTCCCTCCCCGGGCTTCCTGCTCCAGGTGCAGGTTGAGCTTAGACATCCTTGGCTGCCTTTTCTCCTGCGTCCCTGACCTCTGACCTCTCACCATGCCCATGGGGAGGCCGTGGCCCACGTGTTTCGAACCATCTGTGGGGCCACATTTCCTGCAGCCTCTCCATGTCCAGCACTATGTACCCCACAGTCTGCACATACGAATGGGGGCTCACCTTCCAGATTCTTCCAGTAATCGGCCATCGTGCGGAAATGGCTGGTTCGAGAAGCCATAGAGGGGGAAATTATGCCATCCCACCAGTCCGTGGTGGCATGGCTTTATCCCCGACCCCGGGTGGCACTCACTCCCACGAAGGCAACCCAGTGAGACTGGAGCCCCCAAACAGTGCTGCCTCCCTGATGTAGGCAGCCTGCTGGGCTCCTGTCCACCCCTGGAACTTCTTGACCACATCCCCATCTCCTCCCTGGCCTGGTCCCCTTCCTCCCTCCATCCCCTGAGCCTGTCTGCCTCGCTCAGCACCCACACACCCTCCAGCTCCTGCCCCTCAGAGCCGTGGCGTACAGAGTAGAAAATAATAATCCCGAGGAAACGAGACCTAGGCCACACTTCCTTCCTTGCTGGCTTAAATGTGAACACGCGTCTAGTGAAAAGCATTGCCAACCGCCTGCACTCCAAGATCCCTGCAGGAGTGGGCTGGCCAGTCCGGCTCTCTCTGGGCCTGGCATCCTTGGATACTCTCGGAGAGGGAGGCGGAACTGGAGTCTCCTCTTGGTTCTCCCTGACTCGCTGAGGGAAGGGGTGGTCCCTGTGCTGACCCTGGGGGGGGGGGCAGGCTGTGGGTGGGCCCTGCTGTGGTGGCCTCTGCCCTCCAGGGTCCTGTCTGTGGGCGTGGCCGGGGCCGGGGCCAGCACGAGGGCGGGCTGGCTCTAACTCGGGAGTCCTGCGCCGTGTCTTCCCCCTCTGCTGCCAGGACGGCCGGACAAACCCCGGGACCTGGAGCTCACCGACCTGGCCGAGAGGAGCGTGAGGCTGACCTGGATCCCAGGGGACGATAACAACAGCCCCATCACAGGTCAGCCAGGGCCCTGCGCTCCGGGCCGGAGGAGAGGGCGGGGCAGCTGGGAGCTCAGAGGCCTGGCCCTGGAGTCCGTCCCCATCCGCCTCACTTATTTGCAGACCCCACGGAAGCCTTGTCTCCCTTTCAGGGTCTTGATGGGAATCCTCCCTGTGCCTCTCTCTCTACGGAGGGAGGTGATGGAGAGGATGGAAGCCGTGGGGGATGCTTCCCGGAAGAAGGCAGCTGGCTCGGCCCCTGAAGCCACAGCCTGTCTCTCCCTTGTGCCCTCAGACTATGTGGTCCAGTTCGAAGAGGACCAGTTCCAGCCGGGGGTCTGGCACGACCATTCCAAGTTCCCAGGCAGCGTCAACTCGGCCGTCCTGCAGCTGTCCCCGTACGTCAACTACCAGTTCCGGGTCATTGCTGTCAACGAGGTCGGCAGCAGCCACCCCAGCCTCCCGTCCGAGCGCTACAGAACCAGCGGGGCCCGTGAGTACCCGAGGGCTCCCCCACGGCGGCGCTGGGACAGGCGCCCCGAGCTCCCACTGGGTGCCCCCAGCCCCCAGCCCCCAGCCGTGCGGATTTGGGCACGTGTCTTAATGGCTCCAAGACGTGGCCTCTCATCTGTAACATCAGCACGTGCCAGAGGGGCTGCTGGGAGGATTCTGTCTGAGATGCGAGCACTCACGTGACCTGTCGTTTTTTATTATCGCTGATGTCGTTAATAACGCCGATGGGAAGAGCTGTGGCAGACATGTGCAGCAGGTGTTTTATCAGATTTCTTTTCCTGGTAACATTCAGCATTCTGAAGTCACACTGTCTCGTTGGCATCCCAAAATGTTAAATGCTGGGATAAACCCGCCTGCTATGAAACACATTTAGCGGCTAATCCATGAAGGGGATGATCCTCGGGTTGGCTATATGGGCATCTGAAGTGTGGAAAGCCTCATGACCAGTCTGTCTGAGAGGCACTGCAATGGAGAGGGGTTAGCGAGCTAGGCAGGCACGCCTCACACGTGAGACACGGCAGAGCGTGTTCTGTTGCCCATGAGACGGGAGTGCAGAGACACAGAGGAGCAGCGTAGGAGAGACCCGACAAGGAAGGGGGGTGGGGAGGAGAGGTGCTCACCGTGCCCTAGACACATTGGACTTGAACTTCGTGTCAATTTGGGTTCCAGCCCCTGAGTCCAATCCCAGCGATGTGAAAGGAGAGGGGACCAGAAAGAACAACATGGAGATCACATGGACGGTGAGTGTCCCCAGCCCAGCCTCGCAGGCAGCAGTGCACACCTGGGTCCCCTCGCCCTTCATACCTTTGACGCCCCAAGGCTCCAGGGTGGCTCAGACGGCCTGGCTGGTGTGGTGGCCACTCGTCTGCGTTGGGCGCCCAGAAACCAAGCAGGAGCATGTCTAGATAAGATTTAAGACAGGAGAGAGGAGCAGAGGTGGTTGGGGCAGTCTGGCAAAACCGTAGAGAACCAGCAAAATAAAATGGGCTTCTTTCTTCAGAAGAAGGAGGGGTTGAGGCAGAGCTCATTTGGCTCAGTGGATAGAGCGTCGACCTACAGACTGAAGGAAGGATCCTGGGTTCATTTTTTGGCCAAGGGGACATACCTTGGTTGCAGGCTCCGTCCCAACCCAGACTCTGGTCAGGGCGTGTGCAGGAGGCAATCAATAGATGTGATTTTTCTCACATCGATATTTTTGTCTTTCCTTCTCTCTTCCACTCTAAAAATCAATGGAAAAAAATATCCTCAGGGGCCTTAACTGGTTTGGCTCGAGAGCTACGGTTTGCCGCTCTGTTGACTAATGATTTTGCCAACCACTGACCTAGACTTTCAATCCCAATAATTACAGGCTCTTGTTCATTGTGAGTAAGCCCCTATCCTAGTGGTCGGCAAACTCATTAGTCAACAGAGCACTTTGCCGACCACTGGGATAGAGCGTTGGCCTGCGGACTCAAGGGTCCCAGGTTTGATTCTCATCAAGGTCATGTACCTTGGTTGCAGGCACATAACCCAGTAGGGGGTGTGCAGGAGGCAGCTGGTCAATGTTTCTCTCTCATCGATGTTTCTAACTCTCTATCCCTCTCTCTTCCTCTCTGTAAGAAAAAAAATCAATAAATATATATATATATATATATATATATATTTTTTTTTTTTTTTTTTTTTAATATCCTCAGGTGAGGATTAAAAAAAGAAGGAGGAGGAGGGGCTGAGGTTGGACTAGGAACAATTGGGCATAAATACTGGGCTCGCATTGGTGTTCTGGGTCCTTTCACGAGATTGCTGGGAGTGAGGAGAGGCCAGCGGCTGGTGTTGTCAATGTAGACCTTCTCGCAGTCAGGACTAGAGAACTCCAGGCCAGGTTTGAAGAACTCCATCTTCACTTTGGTTCACTGACTACATTTTCAAATCAAAATTGGATGTGTCACCTCAAAATGATTTCTTTAAAAAATATTTTATTGATTTCAGAGAGGAAGAGGGAGGGAGAGAGAGTTAGAAACATCAATGATGAAGAGAATCAGAGGTGGGCTGCCGCCTGCATGCCTCATACTGGGGCTTGAGCTTGCAACATGGGCATGTGCTCTGACCCCTGGCCAGAAATCAAACTGTGACCTCCTGGTTCATAGGTCAACGCTCAACCACTGAGTCATGTCGGCCAGGCATCAGAATGACTAGTTTTCAAACTACATCCTAGAGAGATGCAAACTTGGCTGCTGAAATGCACTTCTATGCTGTGGCCACGTGTCATGAAAACAGGACACTCAGTGTTGGGAGTCTAGACCATCCCCATCCTGCTGAGGGCCTGGTCTCCCAGCAGCCTCAGCAATGAGGCCTGGCTGATCCCAGATGCCAGCACATCCACGAGGCTGAGCAGGGTCTGCTTGAGGTCCATACTCCATCCTGTGGGACTTCTATGGGGGCAGGCCCTTAGGGAACAGAGGGCAGAGCTCCGCCCACTTTGAGAAGGCTGGGACCCGTTGAGAGGACAGAGCAGACCTGCCTGCGCTCGGGAGAGCTGAAGTCGGCTCTGTAACTTGGAATTCACAAGCAGTAGGCATGCAGTGGCTAACCCAGAGCTCATGCCTTTCTGACTTTGGAGAATATTATATTATCATCCATGTTTTTTCTTGTTGCTCCACCATAGGAGAGGGTCCTTCCAAAATAAGGCTTTTGCTCCCTATGCACTTGCACATGTGGGGTCACGCTGATGAGGTCTTGGGGGACGCCTTTGACACAGAAAATCTGTGTGCTGCTGGGACTCGGCTCGTGGAGGACTCAGTGAGGTTGGGGGCTGGGCAGTGTTGGGCAGATCTGGAGGGGTGCCTGGGGGAAAAAGAGACGAGTTGTGGGTGGGTCTGGGGCCCCCCACCTGCCCCTCCACCTCTGCCCTCTGTCTCTCCCCGCCCAGCCCATGAATGCCACCTCCGCCTTTGGCCCCAACCTACGCTACATCGTCAAGTGGCGGCGGAGAGAGGCTCGAGAGACCTGGAACAACGCCACCGTGTGGGGCTCCCGCTACGTGGTCGGGCAGACCCCTGTCTACGTGCCCTATGAGATCCGAGTGCAGGCCGAGAATGACTTTGGGAAGGGCCCTGAGCCAGACACGGTCATCGGTTACTCCGGAGAAGATTGTGAGTACCTTCCCCCGGCCCCCACCCAGGCCCTCCCGGCTGGGCTCACAGACTAGGAACCTCGGGGTGGGTTGTGGGGCTTCCCAGAACTGGGAGGACAGCTAGTTCCCGGGAAAGAGGAAACTGACCTACGTAGCAGCAGATGGGCCCTGCATAGTGTCCCGAGCAGAAGTGTGTCATCTGGACACCAGTTAAAATTACTCCGCGTCATCACCTAGCCAGTACTCTATGTTATGGATGTGAACTCAGGCCCCCGCGAGGAAAATGTGGGCCGTATCACACAACAGCAAGTGCTGGGCGTGAAAATCGAACCCAGGCCTCCTGGTCTGCCTATTGCCAGTCCTCACTGCACCAAGAAAGACTTCAGGACTGTGTATCCCGAAGAGCCATTAGCTCCGCCCAGGAAGCAGGGCCACGGGCCAGACTCCTTCCCCGGCTCCCCCGGCCAGCCTTCAGGGATGGAGGAGGTCTGCAGAGCCTCAGACTGGAGCCACCCAGACCAGCTTCCTGCCAGCATTCCCAGGATGCTCTTGGCCCTCGGAAATGAGCATAAAAAGAGAAGTCCCTTAGGAGCTTGCAGGGGGTGAATCAATGAGATTCTGAGTATGTGGAAGCAGGTTCCTGGCTTCCCAGGCGGTGGTGGCTTCTTTGTCCCCAGCACATCAATTCGGTAGACAGCTGAGCGAGGCAGGAGAGGCAGTGGGGCACCCTCTGCCCTCCCTCCCGATTAGGGTGATTTGTACCCCAGTGAGTCTGGGTCTGATCTAAGAAGAGATCATGGGGTGACTAAAAGGGAGGGGGGCTGGGGAGAGTCTTAGGGAGGAGTGGAGTCACAGGGGCAATACTGGAGTCAGGAGCCGGGCCGCCAATGTTTGAACAGTGAGACGGGAAGAAGTGAGGATTGGCCCCTCTGTGCTCCACTTTCCTGGAGGTGATTATGGATTGAACCCACTTGGGAGATAAGCAGGGCAGGGAGGTGGGCAGGAGAGGGGAGGGTGGAGGTCAGCAGGCCTCTGTCCATCCCACTCCTCATCTCCGTGGTGGCAGACATTTCTGGACAGACTACTGGATGGCAAGTATGGGATGGGCAGCATCTGGTCATGAACTTCACGGACCGACCCCCCCCCCCCCCCAGTCTCCATTGCATCTGCCTGCTCTGTGGCCTCTGCTCTGAGGGAGTAGAGAGGATGAGGCCGAACTGCTTCTGCAGCGGAATGGAGAAAGGGGGCGGGAACCAGTTTGGGGGAGGGAGTGGCCCTCCCATTGCAGGTGGTCACGGATAAGGTACCTTCATTCTGGTGGTGATGTTTCCTGGCAGGAGGCAAATGCCACTCAAGGCAGACTGTTTCTGATGTAAGCACAGGGCTCGAGGGGAAACAGCACACTATGGTGACCACCTGGAGGGCTAGGGGCTGACCCTGAGCCTTGAAGGGGAAGCAGGTGGGAGAGTCACCATGCCATCGAGGGCCACCCACAGGAGCCAGGGCCTTGGGCAGAAGAATGCAACGCTGTCAGCTGTCAGCCCCACAAACAGGCGGCAAGGGGCATAGCTACGTCTCCTGCCCCAGGATCTCCTGTTGGCGCCTCCTATCGGGCAAACCCATCCGGGAACCTGAGAACAAGGGAGCCCAGCTGACTTGGTGCAGGAAGGACAGCTTCCTGGGACATGGCGCAGGGCGGGGAAGGGCGGAGAATGCAGTGGAGGGCACACGGAGACTATCCGGCACCTGAGGGTAGCAAATCCCTGCTCTCCTACCTGGGCTGCCACCCTTTTGTTCTGAGCCTTTCCCCACTCCTCCCAGCACAGTCTGATGGAGGAGACAGAGCCCCTGCCCTCAGGGTCCAGAGCAGGGTAGAGGGTATGGGCAGCAGAGAAAAGTCAAGGGGAACTTGGGGTCCTGGGGCCAACCGTGCCAGCATAACCTGCTCTCTGTCCCAACACATTGCAGATCCCAGGGCTGCACCCACTGACGTTAAAATCCGAGTCCTGAACAGCACAGCCATCAGCCTTCAGTGGAACCGCGTCTACTCCGACACGGTGCAGGGCCAGCTCAGGGAGTACCGAGTGAGGAAGCCAGCTCTCAGCCCGCCTAACCACCCGCTCCATAACCAGGGCAAGGGGTAGCAGGTGCAGGCCAGCGGATGTTTGGGAGGGAGCCTCGGGGGAGCTATGGAACTCAGAGGTAATTCAAGAAGATGATGTCTAGGGTTAGCCCCTCAAAATTATACTCCTATACATGGACACACGCTCCCAGGTGTGTGTGTCCTGCAACGGAAATGCTGAGAGAGTCTGCTCAGCAGGAAATCACGTGAAGGGCCGTGGCTTTGGGTGGATGTTGCATCGCACGGCATGCCTGTAAGGCGTGAGTGGATGCACGCGCATTCACGGAAGCTCTGTTGAGGCACCACTGAGCTACACCCTGCCTGCTCCTAATGGTCCCCGCTGGGCTGCTTGCCTCTCCTGGTCTGAGTTTGGGGGGGCCCCAACTAACAGGTGTAACCGCTAAAAGGGTGCAGAGGCCTTCTCTGTGGTCGCCGCCACGCCAGGTGATCCAGCACAGGGGCCATCCGGCTCTTGGCTTCTGGTCTTCCTGCCTGGGGGTGGTTTCTGCTCAGTCTTCTCTCTTCTTTGAAAGGGTGAGCTGAGTTGGGGGAAAGGGAGAGGAAACTCAGGATAAGCAAGGCTCTTCCTAGGAATGGCTCTGTTTGAAAGTGGCCTGGGAAGCGGGGGAGGCTGTAGTCACGGGATACTCACACAGGTTCTGTGACCTCAGAGGTCACTGGTGGAGCGTTGGCTGGTGGACAATCGGGGGCAGAACGGAGGGGCCAGTCTCTCCTTGGGAAATGAATTTGTAAGTGGGGGGAAGGCAGGCAAGATGATGTTCACACTTGAACGAGCTCTCCCCTAACTGTTGGCTTGTACCTTGAACCTCCTTGCCTGGAGGTTGTTCTGGCTAAAGGTCCCATTGGGTGCCCTCTTAAGCCTGGACTTCCTCCTTACCTTGCCGACGGAGGCCTAGGTGGTGCTGGTGAAGCAGCCTGACCTGGTGCTTCCTACCCACTGCTAACCAGACCCTGTGTCACACATGCTGGCTCTCAGCCTTCCCAGGGCCTCTCCACCTCCCATAGGCCGTCCCGTCCCAGCTCTTGCCACCAGGCTGCCTGGTTTGTCACTGACGTGGACACCGATTCTAAAGGTCTTCAGACAATATTAACAGCAACGTTTGACTTCAAAGGCTTAAAACGGCTTTTTCTCATAGTCAGACTTGTGGGGGTAACCCGCTATTTTCAAACTCCTCTTGCCGCCAGGCTTACACCGTACTAATCCTGCTCGGGGGACTGGGCCTCTGAGCACAGGACACAGCTTGCCACGCTTGGACCTGTGGCCGGTATTTGCAGTTTTGGCACAGACTCCCTGAGCAACCTGGTCCCCAGCTTGGAAATCAGGCTCATGGTGGAGCAGCGTGGGCCTGGCCAACTTGCCTCTTCTCCGGAGAGGCGACTGAAACCAAATACCCTGTTGCTTGTTTGACATCCGTTCAGACGGGCTCAGTGGCTAACGAATGGGGACTGTCGGCCACCTCCCCGCCCCGCATGGCACTGATGAGCTCGTTTGGGACGTGGAGCCTGTGGCAGCAAAGGGAAGACCGGTCACTACCATCACCACCACTAACCACTAACCCAGCCCCGCCTGGCGCCCCCTCACCGGCCTGCTTCTGTCCTGAAGGCCTACTACTGGCGGGAGAGCAGCTTACTGAAGAGCCTGTGGGTGTCTCAGAAGAGACAGCAAGCCGGCTTCCCAGGTGACCGCCTCCGGGGCGTGGTGTCCCGCCTCTTTCCCTACAGCAACTACAAGCTGGAGATGGTTGTGGTCAATGGGAGAGGCGATGGGCCTCGCAGTGAAACCAAGGAGTTCACCACCCCGGAAGGAGGTAGGTCCGACCTGCAGCGCTTCAGGGTGGGGCAGGCCCAGGCACTGCGTTCCGGTGGACATGGAGCAGCCCCAGGTGGCATGGTTCGGACAGCACCACTTGACCTCTGCACGACCTCGAGGAGCTGATGACCTGTGAGCTGCATCGCTCCTACCATCCCCACACAGCACCGCATCGCCTATCTGGCCCGCCCTGATGAGGTTGTGCCTCGAGAGAACACTGGTGTGGTCTGATGACGTAATTCCAGACGGGCACACAGACTGACGCCCAGGGCACTGGGAGAACCACGGCTGCCTGCCACCTGAGGCTGAAGTGGTCAGTCACCCTGACCCCCTAGAGGCATCGGTCAGGGGGCCAGCAGCCAGGACCTGCACAGCTCTCACCACTGCAATCAAGAAGCTTTCGCTGAGGTGGTTGGCCCGCGGGGGCAGTGGCCCTGCAGAGGGGCGCCTGCCGACTGCAGGTTCATGGTTGCCCTGGGCCTGGGAGAGAGACCCCTACCAAGTCCCCAGGCCAGCTCCTGTTCTAGTCAATCTTTTCTCGTCAGCTTGGCGCTTTCTTCGCCCGTTTCTGTTTCTCTCCCTCCCGTTTCAGCTGTTATTTTCTTCTTCCTCCTCTCTTGACTCTCCTTTGTTCTTCCCTCGTGCTTTTTTTTATTAAAAAATCGATTAATTTTGGAGAGAGAGAACCATTGATTTGTTGTTCCACTTATTTATGCATTCATTGTTGATTCTTATATGTGCTCTACTAGGAATCAACCCACAACCTTGGTGCATTGGGACGATGCTCTAACCAACTGAGTTAACCGGCCCCGGCCCTGGCCCCTCTTGCTTTCTTTATTCCTGTCTTTCCCTCCACCTGTGTGTTTGTTGCTTTTTTTAAAATATGTTTTCAGGGAAAGGAAGAGAGAGAGAGAGAGAGAGAGAGAGAGAGCGAGAGAGAGAGAAAGAGAGAAACATCAATGATGAAAGAGAATCATTGATCTGCCTCCTGCACACCCCATACAAGCCTGCAACCTGGGCATGTGCCCTGACCAGGAATCGAACCATGACCTCCTGGTTCACAGGTCAATGCTCAACCACTGAGCCACACTGGCAGGCTTGTCTTGGTTTTGATCATCAGCCTCCCCGCATCTCTCCTGCCCCTCACCTGTCCACGTGCTCCATCTGGGCTTTCTTTCCTCTTCCCCTGAGGGTCCCCAGCACCCTCAGCTCAGTCGCATGGGCCTGCTGCTGGGACCTGTAGGTGACAACCCTTGTCTGAGGACAAGGAGCCTGGACCTCCAGCCTCCGTACGAAATAGTGACAGTGGTTTCCCTGCTCGAGGCGTGCTCTGCCCCTCTTGGAGGTATCTTTGCAGCATCGGAGCCTAACATGCTCAGTCCACGGCAGTTGCTATAGGAACCCTCGGTTTACTTCTCCCATTTAAACAGAGTTAGAGCCAGGCTTGTCCTGAACTGGGGGCGCCCATCCTGGATGGGCTCTGGTTTGGCAGCTGCCTAGCATGGGGGTTGCCCTGTCAGTGCCTTCATACTTGTGTTTTGTTTTGTTTCCTTCTCCTGCTCGCCTCCTCCCACTCCCCTCATATCCCCCACTCTCCTCTCCTTCCCCAAGTACCCAGCGCCCCCAGGCGCTTCCGCGTCCGGCAGCCCAACCCGCAGACAATCAACCTGGAGTGGGACCACCCGGAGCACCCCAACGGCATCCTGACCGGATATTCTCTCCGATACGTGCCCTGTACGTCCCGCTCTGATTGCTCTTCACTAACCTGGGGGTCAGGAGCCCTATGCTCACCACTTTGCCTGAGGACCCCAGAGCCCCTGGGGTGTGGGCAGAGGGCACTGCCAGGGGAACAGTTCCCCCAGGATTAGGGGAGGCAGCGAGACCCAGCCCTGCTTTCCTCACGCAGGTCCCTCCTGCAGGGAGCGTCTAGGCGCCTGTGAGACATAGGGAACTTCTGGTCTAATGAGGGGTCCAACCCCAGTCCTCGGAGATCCTAGAGTCCCAACACCTACAAGTCTCGGAGAGGGCTCCTCCTCTGACAGAACGGCCGTCAGATGGGGTAGACCAGTGGTCGGCAAACTACTGCTCGAGAGCCACTTGCAGCTCTTTGGCCCCTCGAGTGTGGCTCTTCCACAAAATACCGCGTGCGGGCACGCACGTACAGTGCAGTTGAAACTTTGTGACCCAAGCACAGAAGTTGGGTTTTGGCTCTCAAAAGAAATTCCAGTCGTTGTCCTGTTGATATTTGGCTCTGTTGACTACTGAGTTTGCCAACCACTGGGGTAGACAGTGCCCACACAGAGTCCACACAGCACTCGGCCACTCAACTAGGGGTCAGTTATGGGAAGGCCTGGGGAGAACTTGGAGTGACCCCATCAGGACCTCGCCTCAGGAGTTCAGTGTCACCCTGCAGGGACAGGAGTGTCCTTACATTTGAAAAAACGTGTCTTTGCCCTCTAAAGTAGGCCATGTTGCCGCTCAGTGGGACGCTCTAAGCCTTAGAGTCTTACGCTGGGTAATGCGTTAACGATTTTAACTCATTGCAGATGGCTCACGAGAATTCTCGTGTTTTCTGTTCTAAGGCTTGTGGACAATCACAGTAGTTCTTTAAAAGGATATTAGCTTGTAAGAACATGTAACCAATAACTTCAAAATGCAATGGGTATTTAATTCTAAAGCATGCCTTTAATATGTACGTAAAACGTTTTTTGTACTCGTTCAATAGAAACTAACCTGGCCCTTGGGTAAAGCTAGTAATAAAGCAGCTGGTCCGCAATGGGTCAGTACCCGGCTGTGTGCTGTGTGCTGCTCCAGATCCAGCCTGGGTGACCAGAGGTGTACCTTCGAGGTACACCGAACAGGCTTTTTACAAAGGAAGCATTAGGTAGACACTCTAGTGCAAGCATGTCAAACTCAGAGGCCAACACAAGCCAAAGAAACGAGGCCTGTGGCCTGCAGGCCGCGAGTTTGACATGCTTGCTCTAGTGGGTTTGCCCTAGTTGTGTTTGAAAGGAAGAAAGAAAGCCATAGTTTGAAAGAAAGAAAGAAACCCATTGAAAAGGCTTGGAGATGGTACACGGAGTCTTTCAGAATTAGCCGCATAAGTACAGTGAGCCTGAGATCACAGGATGAATGAAAAGTAGCAACCCTGGTGTATCCTCAAACAGCGAGAAGGAGCCCCTGCCCTGCATGCTGCCTTTGCCCGAATCTCCCATCCCCCTGAGCCGTCAGGTGCTCACAGGAGGTGAAGGGGCGGGTTGCACCGTATCCCTTACAGCTGAGCCGGGAAGGTTTGCAGCTGCAGCTTATGTAACTGATCGCGGTCAGCCCTGCCGAAGTTCAATTCCACGTGCCTGTCTCTCCCCAGTTAATGGAACCAAACTAGGGAAGCAGATGGTGGAGAACTTCTCTCCCAACCAGACCAAGTTCACGGTGCAGAGAGCAGACCCCGTGTCTCGCTACCGCTTCACCCTGAGCGCCAGGACGCAGGTGGGCTCTGGGGAGGCCGTCACAGAGGAGTCGCCAGCTTCCCCGAATGAAGGTAGGTGCATTGTGGGGGCCTCGGGGTCACGGGGCCCAGCTAACTCAGAGAAAACTCTGACCTGCTCCCTGGCTGCCCGGCCTCCTGTGATGGAGGGGAAAGGAGTCTACAGGTCCTTCAAGGAAAGCAGGGAACCTGTGTTGTGTGCTGGCAGGTTGGTAAGTAGGTGCTGGACAACTCAGGTCCCTTAGACTGGTCATCAGACCCGGGTCCCCACATTGCCTGGAGGGGTACGGAAGAGATGAGAGAATGTGTGTTGGAAGTAAATAGGCTAGTGAGCTCCAAGGAACAGTGAAACTGCTCACCTGTTTAGGGACAGGAGTATTATTACTTTTGAAATGGGGTCTGCTCTCTGCACCTTGAACTTGGCCTGCATGTTGAGAGTGTCCACCCCGGCTCTGGGGACACCCCTTCTTCTCCCAAGGGCACATGCATTCAAGGAGGGATGGGAAAGAGCCCTGACAGAAGCCACCTGCCCGGAGCAAGAGTCGATGTAGTCCCTCCTTGCAGCCCGAACTGAGGGAGTTGTCAGGCTGCAGAGAGGAAGTGGGGGTTGGGAAACAGCCATTTGCCAAACAGCTTCACAAAGAGCAAATGGATTCATCTCCTGGGTCATGGCGTCTTCCTGGAGTCTAGCAATCCCCGCCGGAGCGGAACTTCCAGAAAGCTCCACTAGAGGGGGCTCCAGGCCCAGCCGCACATGCTGACTAGTACCAAGGAGCCTCTTTCCGGTGTATGAAAGGGGGGGACCCCACTGCCTCTCCAGAGGCACAGTCGTCCATTCCACAAGCCCATTTCTTGAGCCCACACTGTGAGGTGGTAGGCACGGTGCCAGAAGTGGAGGACACGAGGTAGGAAGCTCACACTGTCTAGAAGGGCGACATCCATGAGAACGTTCAATTGCAGTTTAGCATGAGGAATGTTATGCTCAGATGGGGCAGGTGCCATGGTTGTGTGGGGGCTGGGGCGTTGAGGCTGCAGGGGAGGCTCCAGAGGAGAGGTGATGTGAGTGGGGTCCTTGGGGCTGGCAGCAGGTGATCCTGTCTCGTGCTTTCTCCAGAAGGCTGGAGGCCCAGATCGGACCTCCAGAGAACCCTACCCCACCCAGGCAAGCACCAGCCCCTCACTCCCGGGCTGCCAGGCCCTGCTGCTTCTGCTGCCTTAATCCAGGGCTCCCAACTCAGCTTCCTAAGCAGCCCTGCACCCCTTCCCAGCGGCCAGCACCGGATTGGGGAGCGGGCGGAGGTGGGCGGCAGGAGCTGGAGAGGCCAGCAGTCCTTTCTGAGGTCCTCTCTGGTCTCGTAAACCAGGAATGAGTCACACCATAAGCTCCCTCCTCCTGTGGCCTTCTAGCCCCATTCGGTAGTTTATTGGGGCGGGGGGGGGGGCTTGGGTAAGTGGTCCCGTAGGTGCTGTAATCCAGCCTGACCAGAGGCGATCACTAGCTTGCTTACTTAGCTCAAAGGAGATCCATCAGGAGAGCCTCTTCTCCTCCCCATCTCCCACCCTGGATGGAACTCGAATAAAGACCCATTGTCCAGCCCAGGGACCACCGGGGAAAGTTCCACAGCCCCCAGCAACAGAGGGACAAAGACCTTCTTCTCCAACCAGGGATTTGCAGCAAAGTCAGGGATTCCTTTTAGGGCTCCGTCCACAGCTGGGTGTCTGATTTCACAAAGCACAGCTAGTGGGAAAGAACGGGACAGCAGAGCAGGATGGGGGCCTCGGAGCTCTGGTCTGTCCCCGCTCCCAGGCCTTCCCAGGCGGAGGGAGTGTGGGAGGGCTCAGCCAATATGCCCCTCCTTCTCCCATCCACCTCAGCATTATCCAACGTCTCCCCACTAAGATCCCAGAACCATTCTTTAATCTGGGGATGCTGTCCTCCTACACCACCTGCACCCTCAATTCCTGGCATCTGGGGGAATCACCCAGCCTCCCGCCTCCAGGCCGGCCAGCCAGGGCAGGACAGCCTCTCGGTGAAAGGCCTAGGGACATGGTTCTCTAGGTGGCCTGTGCCTGTCACCACCTCTCAGGTGAGAGTCCTTGAGAAGAGGTAGAGCCGGAGAGCACTGGAAAAGTCTCCCAAAGCCAGGTGGAAAGTTTTCCATGGAAATGAACCAGACCCCATTGGCGTTGGACATGAGCCCCGAACACTAGCCGGCCTACTCAGGGCAGTGGTCAGCACCTGACCACACTATCTCTGGTCAGGTTTGAGCCAGAGCCTCCTCTGCCTGTTGTCCTGTGGTTTCACCTGTATTCTGTTTTCTCTTCCTTCTCATATCCTTTCTCCCTCTCTCTGGCCATCTTGGGCGCTGTGCTCTGAAGCTACTCCAACCGCAGGTACCGTACCAGCCGCGGAGGTAATGGGCATGGCAGGGGTGTCCCAGGTGGAGGCCAGCCAAGGCGGAGAAGGAGGGAGAGGCTCGGAAGAAAGCATGTGCCAGACTCACCCTTTCAGGGTCAGGCAGCCGGACTGTCAAGGAGGATGTGTGTAGAGGATGCCGCCGGAGTCAAACACAAGCTCATCCCTCCACTTCCTGTTTATCTGCCCCCTATTGTGAAGGGCGATGACTTAGAAGGGGTGTGTGTGTCCCCGTCCCCCCCAACCCGGGCCCCACACCTATTCTCTGGAGCGGCAGCCTTCTCTAAAGCTGAGCAATGGCTTCCTTGCACCACCGGGGCCCTTGCCTCGGCTTGACATCTCAGAGCCCAGAGAGAGGGTCACCGTCTTCAGGTGGCCCCTGTGCCCCGAGAAGGCATGCTGCACCCCGGTGGGCACAACTAGCTCCTGTCCTCTGGTCCGGCTGCATGCCCTGAAAGGGTGACACTGTGCATGCTGGCCTTGCATGCTGCATGGGGGCCCGGCACCAGCTCTGCCACCTCCCGTGGGTTCTGGTCAGTGAGAACCAGTGGGTGTATCTTTGGACAGAGGCAGGTGCTCCAGGATCTGGAGTCTGGGCACCATGGGCTGACGGTGCCCTCACCCTTCACAGCCCAGCGTCTCAGAGTGCTCAGCGTTAAGCACAGCCTCCACTCTCATCCGCGGAGGTTGGTGCACACAAGGGAGGCGCTGGGCAGGCAGGTCCCAGCTTAGAAGCCAAGTTCCTCCTCTCCCGTCCTCCTGTGAGGGCTTGAACATCAGAGGGGGCTTCATCGCAGAAGGCCTCTCCTCAGCTGGAGACACTAGGCAGGAGACCCAGGTGCGTTACCCTGCCTCTGAGGCTGAGGACAAGGCCTCATGTGTGGGGCCAGGGCTTGCCAGAGCCTCCTCAGGCTCCAGGCAGCAGGGAGAGCTGAGAACTGAGAACGTGTGAGAAATCTGAGGGTTGGTTTAGGAAGAGGCCACCTTGCCCAATTTGGTTTCCTGCCCACCTTCCTGCCTTTACCCTTACCCCCGTTTTAGGTTGATTCTATTTCTGTTGCACACCCTGCTTCCTTCAGTTTGCCTTTGTTTTGTCAGCCAGATCTGGGGGGGAAAGGGGGGTGCTCCCATCCCACTCCCCGCCTGCAGTTCTCTGGGGGTTGCTCTGACTTCTCAATTCACATCTGCAGAGGAGTCTCTTCTGGGCCCATTTCGGCAGGTGCTCAGGGCAGCTCAGCCTGAGCAGGTTGAGGGAGGCTGAGGCAGGGAGGGCGCCCGGAGAACCAGTTAGAAGCTCATTGGTCAAGCAGCTCCTGGCCCATCTACCCCATTCTGGCACCCGGGGACCGGAGGCAGGTGGGCCTGGCGGCAGGGAGTCTGCCTTGCTCATGGGGCATCCATGCCAGTCTGTGCCGCCCCTGTCCAGAGTGGCAGTTGCAAGGGGGGATGGGTGTCATTCCATATGCCCCACTTTGCACTCCGCCTAGAGAAGGTCCAAGCTCCAGGTGTGCAGAGTGGATGCAGGGTCTATGTCCGTCGGTCAGTGTGTTTCCAGGCTCCAGCTTCTGTGGGACAAAGAGGCCCTGCCCTTTGTGAGGAGCCGTGCTGGCTCTCCAGCTGTTCGCTGCTTTCCGTACACGAGAATCTCTGCACAACCTGCAGGCGGCAGGCAATGGAGCCAGTCCACGTTTCTGATTTCCAGCCCACTGTCCCTTTCCTCTCACCCTCCCCAAACCTGGGTGGTTTTCCCCAAACGGATCTGTCTGTATCTCACCCGGTGAAGATGATCCCTCTCGTGCTCTCATATCTGCAGTCTCTCGGGACTGCTGCCTGTCGGTCCCGGCCATCTGTGGTTTGGCCAGGCGGGCCGTGCACCATGTGGGCGTTTTTGGACTGAACCTTCCACCTAGAAATGTCTGGAAAAGGCTGTCCTCATCTCTGACTCAGCTGAGATCTGTAATTGTTGGGTAGGCGGCCTGGGGTCTTGGCTCAGTTTTCTACGTGGTATTTGTTCCCGAACCTGGAGGAAAACCTTCGGCCACGGCTGAGCTGCATCAAGCCCCCTGTTCGGTAGACACTGCCTTCAGGTTGCGGTCCTGGGCTCCCAGTTCTCCATCCCTCTTCTTCTCAGTTGCCAGGCTGGTGGTCACCACTGAGCACGGACCAGGTGGTTCTCTGGCCCATAGTGCCTGCTGTGGCCGGAGGTGACATCCTAGCAACTAGTCTGTCCAGACTGGGGGCCACTCTGTCCATAAGCCCCGCTCCTGGGCTTTATTTCTTTTCTGTCCCCTACCCTGTCTCTACCCCAGGGCATGGCACCATCTGAACCCCCATTGAGCTAAGCACTGGATATGTTCTTCAGGGGTAACTTTCCTTCTTCTTCCTTCTCCTCCCTCCTTCTCCTTTCCCCTGCACACACCCCTACACTCACTCACCTGACCCTCTGTCATTCCTCTATCAACTCACCTGACCCTCTGTCACACTTCTAACAACTCACTCACCTGACCCCCTGTCACTCCTCTAAGCTCACTCACCTGACCCTCTCACTCCTCTAACAACTCACTCACCTGACCCTCTGTCACTCCTCTAAACTCAGTCACCTGATCCCCTGGCCCTTCCCTCAGAGCCCCTCCTTGCCTCTGTATTCCCTGTCTCTCCGGCCTGTCCAGCCATGGAAGCAGAGACACTGCTAGTGGGTGTTCAGAGTGCTTATTTGCCAGTGGTGACCTCAGACAGCGAAGGTTGCAGCCGCCAAGGTGACTCCTGTGATGTCTGGGAAACATATCATTCCTCCCCTCTCACGCCCCTCAGGATCCCCTCTCACTGATTCCTGAGACTGTTGTCACTGAGCCCAGGAAAGGCAATCAGGTAGCCATCATCAGAGTCACTTCCTTTCCATCCCTCTTGGCAAAGGGACCATCAGAGGGAGAGGCGGGACCCTGTGAAAGCATCCTCAAACCCTTTGTCATTCTTGTCTCTGGCCAGCAGGCCCAGGGAGAACTCTCTCTAACCCACCTCTCAGCATCCCCACCCCTCAGGCCGCTCGCGGGGGCACACAGGGTCGCATGCGTGAGCCTGGCTGTGTGAGCATGCACGTGTGAGCGTGAGTGTGTGAGTGTATGTGCTCTGCTTGCACGAGGACCAAGGGGCACGTGAGAGTATGGAGAGCGTGGGAAATGTAATGCCGCTGTGTGTGGGCAGGGAGGCCAGGTCTCTGAGCTACACAGCGTGGGATGATTTAAGTTAAAAGGGAGTCAGTTAAGGTGTGTTTTTAATGATACCTTTTAGATAAGTATAGAAAAGTGAGGCCTGTGAACATTGCATTTGCCAGAAACTTTTAGAAAATACACTGTTAATGAACCAAATTAGAGCAGTCTTGGCCAGGGCGGTCCATGCCTCTCCAGGCCCCTCCCAACAGCAGGAGCGGTTGTGTGTCCATGGTCCAGGGTTTCCATGGCCGTGGGAGCTGCCAGGACCCAGCCTGGGAGAGAGCCGGCCTTTGCCTGGTGGGCCTCAGGCTGTTCCATGGATGTGTCTGTCTGTCTGTCTGTCTGTCTTGGTGGGTCGGGTAGACGAAATCCCTTCTGCTGAGCTTTTATTGCATTGAGCCTTCCAGGTTGGGGCTACCTGGGACTGAATATGTCCTTGGGTAATGCCTGTGAGTGGGAGATGACCCCACGCACCCCCCACACGCCTTCCTGTCTGTGGGGTGAGTGGGGCTGGAGGGACATCCCACCGTCAGCCTGGCCTCCGCCCAGGAATCCCCGGAATGTGTTAGAGTCAGCTGCCTAGTGTGGCTTCTGTGGTCAGCACCCTCGGGGCCCAGCAATGCCTGTGATGCTACAACTAGGGAAGTGACAAGGGGTTCGGGAACAATCCCTCCTCTGTGGGGCACTTGTCACATTGGAGGCCCAGGGCATGAAAAGTTTAGGATCTCTTGTTGAGAAAGTTTAGGATCTCTATTCTCCCCCGAGGAAAGCACTCTGGCCGTTTTCTTTCTGGCTCCCTCCCTGGCTGGCCCCCTTTTGCTGGGTGGGGGTAGTATGGAGGTTTGCGGCAGGACCTCTATTCTTTGGGAGTTAGAGCTCATTGCTAATGTCTTAACATCCGGCCCCAGCCCCATTAGCATCCACACCAGCAGGTGGACTGTGACCAGGCCACAGAGATCAGACCCTCCAGCCGTAGCAGGACGGGACCTAAAGGGCAGTAGCTTCCAGGAGCTGAGAGGAGAGGGAGAGGGCATTTGGAAATGTGGCCACACAGAGACTGAGCCCCAAGGGCTGGCCTCCGGAGAAGGTGAGCTTTGGGTGGAAGATGAGAGCATGAGTTAGCACAGATGGAAAGCCCCCGATGATTTGTGCAAAAAGGAAGACACGGCATGTATCTTGCTTGCGATTCGATTTGTGTCTGCTGTGGGCTGGGAGGAGGTGCTTCCGTCCGTGCCCTCTCTCTTGTTCTAATGCAGAGGGGAAGGACCTGGGGTGACTGGACCCCAAATGTCCTAGAGAGAAAGGCAGTTATTGCCATCCAGAATGGAGTAGGGTAACTGCGGGGGGGGGGGGGGGGGGGGGCAGTCACTGGCGGGGGAGGGAAGGAGAGGCCGGAAGGGTCAACAGCGGAGATGGGGAGAGGCAAAAGTGTATCCTCTGATGGCATTGGAACTCAGCAGGTGGAGGGCAGGTAATTTGGGGTGAGTGGTTGGGAATGGCTGGCTTCCTGGTGCTCCTGCAGGACAGGAACCAGCCGTCTGCCCCGCTCCAAGGCCAGGCTCCAGGTCTGGGTCGACATGGTGCCGCTTGGCCTGTCACTGGTGGCGCTGGCCTGGGACCCCATGCCGTCGTCCTTGAGGTCTGAGCGATTCGTACGTGTCCCTTCCCATCCCCTTCCCTGCCCCTGGCTGGATGCATGCTGGATGCTTTGAGCCACACAGACCAGGAGAAGAAAATGAAACGCTCGGGCCTTCATTCTCTTCCTGCCA